GGGCTGATATTAGGGCCGGTTGAGTGATTTGAGCTGATATGAATCAACCGTTTTCTTCTCTTGTAGTGCGACCATTGAATTCACAGTCAGATGGTCAAAATTTATCACAGGAAATGAACGTCTGAGTTAGAGACAAGACAAAAGCTGCAACATAATCCTGCTGACTTGTCGTAGACATGAAGACATGGGTGCGTCTAATTAAACAGGGCATGCATTGTGCAGATTCTATTCACCATAAAATACTCAGACTATCCAGCTTATTTATAGTTTGCCTTTTCAGGGTTCAGAGACGCAGGTTTCCTCTGTTTGTTCGCTGTTTCTAAGTTTAATATGACGCGGAGCTTATTAACAGTGCAGCTCTGGTGGTGCGATATGTTGTATGTGAGGAAACTGGATCTATCTAGTGGAAAAATACTAGAAAGAGGAGAATATGAACAACATGTTCAAGGGCAACATATCTATGGGAAATCACACCTTCATAGTCAGACAGAACGTGCTGTAACATATTTTTCAATAATGCGATAAACTTTTTCTCAGGGAAGTTGTGTTTTTTTGTACACCTCTGACTCTTGATTGTGATCTGAAAGAAAAGAGCACAGCAACACTTCAGTCTGAGGGGGTCTGCTTCAGGGATGGGTTCCTTGAATGATAAGTGAGAGAAAATTTATACAGAACATTTTGAATGGCAGGTGAACTTGCTGTGCTCCAAAATAAAAGGGGAAAATAAATAAATGAAAAAACAGCAGAGATAACAAGGAGACATAGATACTAAGATTTGTCAACAAATCAGATTTCGAAATCTTGTTAGAGTTCTTTTAAAGGTGTTTACAAATGGGAATGTAGACTGATTTTAAACTGAAATACTCCCTTGCTTACCACTTCTGACAATGACGCTACGGTGGCCTTTGGAGACAAGAAGCTCCTGTGATGGATGATAAGTCATTGTATAAGTGTCAGTCACTGATATTGAGATTTGAAGCCATTTTGAAAAGGGCAAATACTGCATTTTCCTAAGGGCCTACTCTACTCACAGGAAACCACATACACACTAATTTACAACAGCCTATTTTTAAAGTAGGACTAAACAAGTCTACAGCCTGGTTAAAAAAAACTGTTCAAATAGTTTGTTTCTCTATCTGCCTTCACGTGATTTCTTTTTTAACTCATTCATTTTGAGGAGATTAAGGTTATCAGTTTAGCTAATTCGAGACATGGCTGACTCGAATGACAGGAGGACACATGAAAGGAGGCTTAAAACTGGACTCAACTTAACTGACTCAACTTGATTAAGTCGGCATTTCAAATATGGTTATTACTGCCAACAGGCTTCAGAGCAAATAAACAAACAAATAAAACATTTCACATTTAAGTAAACTACTTTTATTATATGTAGTGTTATTGTCTATGATCCATTTCTACCTAGTCTGCTCTGCTTAATGCTGCTGAATACGACACGCTGCAATTTAAAAGACGCTGTTGAAGCAGACCTAAACTTGTGTGTGAAAGACTTTTGAATGGAAGAATGTGATAACAGAATGTGATGCTGGATTTTCTTAGTGTATTGTTTCACTTTGGGTCTGTCTGCTGTGTTTACAATGACCTTCTCAGCAATCACAGGGAAAGAACCAAACCATTCAGATAGGTGTTCCAGAGTTAAGGCTCAAATCGAACTGAGACTTTACTTTATCCATCAGAGCTTCTTCAGTTTGAAGTAGGCTACCTGATGAATAAGACTTGGAGAATCAGCAACATCTATTAAATCACTATTAAAAACAGGTTCCCAGACTTGCTGTTAAACATTGTCAGTTACTTTTTCCATCTGTCCAGTTTTATTATTCTAACTTTTTTTTTTTTTATCTATCATGTTTTTTGGTATTGTCTTTCATTCATTCCTTCATCTCAAAATGTTCATTATTTTTTCTGCTTTTAATTTATTACTTGTCTGTCTACCACCAACTAATTGCACCCTGATTAGATGATGAATTGAAAACCAAACTTAGACAGCCCATGTTCTTCAGAAATACAAAGGAACGATTAAAGCAAGTTACTATTCCTGCATCCATCAATCACAGGAGTCATAACAGTCCACAAGTAACTTCCCCTCTCTGTCTAAATGGTGAGTTTACTTTGGCGCCACCTCAAGGAGAGGCTGAGAACTTTGACAACAACAGCGCTATTTTGAAAGGTGTTCAGATAAAATTAGGTATCCTCATTTGTTTACTTGATGTTTTTTTACATGTTTATGACTCATTTTTGTATATCACTGTTTTGTTTCTGTGTGTGTTTCCTGTAAAAAATAAAATAAAATGAAAATCTAAAAATTTTGAAACAAATATCGGATAAAAAATGATAATAATAATATTAATCAATGACTTTCACAAAGTGATGCAACATTTTCATGATTGCAAATCAGATCTTGTTGTGTTCTCCAAAAATATGACAGAGTTGTCCACAGCAAAAGGTATTGTAGTTCCTTTTCTCCTTCTGAGCATGAAAAATGGACTTTATCAAGTCAAACTGATGTTGATTTATTTATTTTAAGGGGTTTATCTGTGTTTGAAAAAATTAACTCTGGCTCATAGATGCTGCCAGCAGCTCAAACTTCATCACCTCTTTTAATATCCCACCACTTCAATAATAAAAAATCTGCCTCAATGTTGTGAACCTTCACTGGCCCCAAACTGTGACCCAGCAAAAATGCTTTGGGATAAAAGGCTTCTATAATTAAGAACAGTGAAAGGGTGGGAATGGGAAACCCTGTCTGGAGCAGCCAGGCTAGACGGGGACCACCTAAAGGTCAAAGGCAGATTTTTTTTCCAGTGAATTTTACTTTACATCCAGCGATTCTCCTCTGCAGCAAAAACAAGCCCAGACTGGGAATGTCTGAAGCAGCGTTTCTCACAGCCAGCAGCACTTCATGGCGTGTTTACATCCTAATGCCAGGAAAACAAAGGGAGCATAAATTTTCATTGGAGTAACACAAACCAAACAGATCTATTATCAGCTCTGGCATCAGCGCCTTGTTCTTGGATTGCTGTAAACAAGAGTGTCTGCATGTTATTTACTTCTTTGTTTGAGTTTGCAAAATTTCATTTAAGATAATCTTGTTATGGATGTAATATGAGCTGTAGTTGCAATTAAACATTTGCATATCCTCATCCAGATAATGCTTGGATTGATTTGATTTTGATGTTTTCAGGATGGTCCAGCAACTCTTGCTCTGCACGCTTTGACGAAGTCTTTGCCAGGCCAGTAGATGGCAGACAAACAAAGCTGTGCTGCAGATCTGTGGTCCTCAGTGGACAAAAACACTCGCTGAGCTCATGTAGTTCAAAGAATTGCCAGAAGAGACCACAATAGTCAAACTTTTCATGTTGTCAGAAGCTATTATATTCAAATGAGCACAGTTTGAATAGATTTAGTTAAGTACAACTAAATCAAATATACTCAGCAGTTTGAGAAGACTTTTGCATTTATAGCAATATGTGCAAAATGCTGCAAGCAATAAAATCTGTTTCTCTCTCATTATTTAAAACTTCTCCCATATTGTTAAAATTCCCACTAAGGGTTTGATTCATATTTCCTCTACATTAGTGCACTTTTCTTTGTTATATTAAAATCTCTTGAGGAATTAAGATTTAAAATTTACCACAGGCTTTAGACAGATATTTAACGCATACATTCACAATCATCCTGTCCTCAAGAGGCCTTTCTGGGTCAAAAAAAAAAAAAATACCATTCCTGAGCTCATTTTCTCTTCTTATCTTTGCAGCAAATAGTTCCTGACATGTCATACTCCAGCATCCTTGATTTTGACAGCAGCTAAAGCAAGGGTGACAAGGAGACAACCTGATCACACACACGTCAGACACAACAAATCAATCTCTTGATCTGGCTCACATCCAGATGCGGTTTTGAGTTCGCCTTCATCTGTTGACAATGTGACAAAAAAGCTACTTTCAGATAGAAGAGTTATATGGAGGATATTGTAAAGACAAAATCACACACAGAGCAACAACAAACTCGGTAATTCATGTCAAGTGTTTGGTCATGAGGTGGAAAAAGAAAAAATGTCCCCAATAATCTGAATCTAAACTACTACTTCAGCATGTTTTTGTGTACTCTTCTAAATTATCAATTGAATAATTTGCATTTTTTTGGATCATCCAAGTTAACCTACTTAGTCAACATGTGCCTTAATACTGCTGTTAAAAAAATAAATATAAAATAAACAAAAAAACAGATAGGCTAATTGCAGCAGCTAGGCCTTTTACTGGTTTTAGTAGACGACATCACATCACTCCAATTTTAGCCTCCCTTCACTGGTTTCCTGTCAGTTTTAGAATTGATTTAAAGATTTTATTGATTACTTTTAAAACACTCAAAGGACTTGCTCCGAGCTACATTTCAGAGCTTTTAATACCATATGAGCCAAATTGCAGCCTCAGATCCTCTGGCGAAGGCATTCAGGTCGTTCCAAAATTGAGGCTCAAAACTAAAGGTGATCCTGAATGTGTTACATTTTGAGATTAAAAACCATATGTGACACCCTGAACATCATTCATTAGTCATTCATTGGTATTATTTGTATGGTTGCACCCCCTTAAATGTGTAGAGACATGCATTAAGTTTATACTGTAGAAGGTGTGTGAATGATCAACAATCAATATTATTAGCAGAAATAGAGGGCCCCAAAATCAAATGTTGCTTCGGGTCCCATTGAGGCTCGGGCCAGCTCTGGCTCTATGCCTATATGTCAAAGCACTTTGTAAACTTCTGTTTTTAAAAGTGCTGTACAAAATAAAGTTATTATTATAAATTAATTCGGTATTTATGATAGCTGTCTTTCAGACGACTGTTTTCGCTGCCAAATTCCTTCATTAAAACCTGCTCTTTCATCACAACCTGTACAAGTACACGTGTTTCCAACCAGACCTGTCATCTGTTACGACACCCGGGAGGTCATCTTGTCACATGGTTGTTGTGTTTTCTTTCCTCCAGGTGGGGGAGCAGCATCTCATTAAGATGTGCGCATGCGCGGCAGCATTTAATCTTCTACCGAGTTGACTTGCAACACCTTTCCTCAGCAAAGTGGTCAAAAAGAAGTTTTTTACGCAACTTTTGACTACCCATTTGGCAATTAGCGCTCAAATTAGGTTGAACTTGTTTGCTTATTTTTGTCACTCACTCTAGAAAGTTACTCGTGTGGTTTTATTTAGGTCAAAAGGTTGTGACAGAAGCTAGTTCCGCCTTGGTTTCCCCCTGTGAATGGACCAGAACGACAAGTGCCAGAAGTGATCAGAGGACAACGACATAGAAGGGAAAACACGACTCCTGACTCTTGGATAGTTTTCCAAGAACAGTCAAAGGGTGAGTAACCGTTTTCACCATGTAAAATTTGGCTTTTTAAAGTTGGAGCCAGTTTCTGTCCGCTAACAAAGCCGATGCTTTGGTAGTGTTAGTGAGACAGTAAGTTAGCCACCTGTTGCTGGCTCTGGCTCACTTTGGCTAGCAGCAGCAGTAGCAGAGGATTAGCATTATGGCAGTACTCGTTGTAATCAGCTCTATCTTTAGCTCACAGGTCGTATTAAAAGGAGAAATGAATATGAAGGATGAACTAATTTAACAAACCGCGTCCGGGCTGTTATAGTTTGTTTAACGTCCCTCTTCGAGTCGCTGCCTGTAGGGGAGACCGGGTTCGGTTGTCACAATTTTTACTCTCGTGTGAATCCCTCAGGATCAATAGACATCTTAAAAGAGTCTGCAACAGACATTAATGTAATGTGTATTTTTAAAAAAAAGACTACTTGATTGATGTCTTAATTTTAGGTTTTAAAGCATAGCGTTCTTGGCTGTCACTCTTCACATAGTATAGTATCTGTATGTTAGTATCATAGTACCATTACTGAGCTTTTTGTTTTTATCTGTCTTTTTCCATGTACTCTATGACTATATGTCAAAGCACTTCATAAACTTGTGTTTTTACAAGTGCTGTACAAATACAGTTATTATTATTATTATTATGTTGACTGACCACCACAGCAAAGACGGTGTCATTAATGAGATTGAAATAATACAGTATGATTTGATACAATGCAAACTAATATCAGTAGGGACATGCAATCTTTTTCTTTTCCACAAAGATCCGATATCAGGGCTCGAATGTGCAACCATTTCACTCACATTTGCGACAAAATTAATCTCAAATTAATTTCAAATAGTAGTACCTAAGTCGACTAATAAGACAAACATTATTTGAGCAGTTTTCATTGTGCCCCTAAAGTTCTTTGTGTGGTCCTTGTGAGGAAAATTAGTGTCAAGCCCTGAATATGCAGATTTTTTCAGACTCATTTTGGCTGACATCAGCACAAACCATGCATGGTGATATTTCCCACCATGTGTAAAAGCCGAGTGACTAAACGAATTTCAAGATTTTCCTGGGCTCCTTTACATTTGGGTGTTTCCTGTTGTATTTCTTAGCTGAATGACTGGAGCGCAGGCTGTTGATGAGTTTTTCTTGGCATTTCTTTTGTGCTTACTTTTCAGAAACTCTTTGTGCCTTTTGAGATGGACAAGTTAATTGGCAGGGTTAAAGGAATGTTGTTTTACTCCTCTGAGCTTTGCAAGTATTTCATATAGCTATTTAGTTGTCTGTTTCCAACACTTCAGAATACTCCCAAATACAGCAGACATGTTAAAGATCATTGTTGGCTGACATGATTGTAGGGGATTTTCTAATCTGCTGATAATGATAATCAGCCTTTTAAGCTTTTATCGGCTGTTACAGATATTTTGCCAACAGTGTTATGGGGAAAATCTACAAGCAGACCCAGATTGACGGTTGCAAGAGTATATAATTTGCTTGCAATATTATTGTCCTTCAAGACTATCACAGTATACAGCAGTGTCAGTATTATCTGTTTTGGTCATGTGAGGTTTACAATCTTGCTAACTCCCAGCTGGGTACTTCAGCTCTTCCTGTGGTTATTTTGCTAACAGTGAAGAGACCCATTGCCTGAAACCAACTCACCTGGAGTCGTGCCATCTGCCACAGCTGGCCACTTGTTTTTCTTGAATCTTTATGTTTGTTAGCATGCCTGAGCTAGCTAGTCAAGTGGCATTTTCTGGGTAAAATACCGTATCGCCATGAAGTACTTCTCTGTATTTTACAAGGTTTACTGGAAAACTGGAAATGCCAGTATTGAGAATGCAGTCCAATAAATAAAAGTATTAAAGACCTTATACACACCGAATAAAAGGTCTGAACAGGACAGAGTACAGCAGTAGTAGTCTGGTAGTTTACAGTTTGGTGTTGCACAGTATGTTTATGTGTATAATATGGTATTACATTAATATAGTAAGCAATTACCCTGATTATAGCCTTTTTTAAAGTTAGTTTATCCTTGTTTTTTGTTTTCTCCTCAGTGCACATGTGTGAGTTTCACAAAACTTAATAACCTTTGTTCTCTAAATTTGTAAATGTTCATTTTAGGTGTCAGACCTTCGCACCGCAGCTGTAGCATTAACTTGAATTATGACCGGAGCTCAGCCTCAGGTGTACAATACCTAGCTTCGAGGGGAACAACTTGCCTCTTTCTCATGTGAAGCATTCTTCTGCATTCCAATCACAGGCCTGTCTACTTGTTCCAACAAGCACACAGTGCTCTCAGGACCGGCAGAAAGCAGTTATACGCCCTAAAGTACACCACAGACTGAAGAACGACACAGTGAGAGGAGACAAAAGGAGCTGCAGCTTTATTGTATTTGTTCTAGATAGGCAGCATTGTAATCGGGTCAGTCATGTTATTGTGCTTTGTGGAAGGATAGCTGTGGATTTTTGCGGTTTACAGGGATTACTCTTCATTTATCTGGAGAGGAGGTGTTGGAGACTTTCACCATAAAGGTGGGTGTCCTTTTCAGACATGGTTGAGAGACTTGTGTATGGTGCAGTGGATTGGCATTGATTTTCACAGGATTGAAATGGTGGGAAATGGACACCCACAGTGGCTTTGAACTGTGATCTTGTTTACTTTGACACCGTCCTTGGGAGATATCAGACAGGTTTAAGTTGGTATTTCTACCTCTTTCAAAGAGGAAATGTTTTGGTGCTGTTTCCCTGAAAGTTGGTAGCAAGTTACTGTTTTTTTCTTTTACTTTTTTGACAAGTTAAGGCAACTTCCTTTTGAGATTATTCCATTTCTAAATGTCTGAATTTGAGAAAGCAAGCTTCTTTGTTTGGTGAGTTCGGAGCAAAAGAAAACAGACATTTCAGTTGTTGGAACATTTGGATGTGGTGGGCTTGTGTGGGACTTACATAATCAGCTGTGCGCCATTATCTGTTGACAGTGGCTCATTGAGATCCATGCAGCTCGCTCTCAAACAAACTCCCAACCCCGCTCTTCATTTAGATTCTGCAGAGTCTGCAGAATGAACTTGGCCCGCTAGCTGATTGGACTCTCTTTATCCGATGAAGTGAGAGTTCTTAATAAGCTAATTGGGAGCTTACAGCGAACAAACAGGATTGTGTAAAAGTTGTAGACTAACAGTGCGGTGCAATCACAGCTCAGCTGGGTTAAAACAATGACTTTCAAAAGGATTCAAATCTGCTAAGCACGCCAGTTATGCTTCAGGCTTTTCTCTGAGTGTGTCAGTCTTTATCTATGAACGTTAGGATAATGCAACATAACTTGCAGTCAGAAAACTGTCACTTTGAGACTATTAGAATTGAGAAAACAACATGAACTGTTTATAACCAAGAATGTTCATTTTAAAAACAAACTGATTAATTGGACGGGGCAGTTTGTTGGATTGGTTTATGGCATTTTTGAATAATGGACATTTGACGAGGCCTGTGGTCAGTAGGCTGACATCACTGGAAGCCTCCTAGCAATGTTACCCCCATATGATAACACCTTTTATCCAGCCTACTTAACAGTGCAGTAAATCCTAAACACTTTGTGGCAGCTAAGTGTTTAATATCAACTAGGGCCCGACCGAGTTGTAGGCGAGCCGATTAAATTGGCCATTTTTAGCCCATTTGAGACTAATCGTAATCGGCCAAAACTCGCCGAATTTCGACGATATTTTCAGAAATAAAATGCGGAGAATAAGATTTGGTTTCACTTTAAAAATGTTTTGCCGTTAAAGAGTTCCCCAACTTATCCTGTAGATGGCGCAGCGACCTTATGACAATCTTCATCCACTAACTACTTCACAGCACAGCAGAGTGACGGTAGTTGAAAATGCTTTTCTGGTCCAAGTTTGATCAGTCAGTCTCCCTGTCGGTGTGAAGAGCAGTAGCCTACAGTATATCTACAGTACATAGTATGCTGTAGATATCTACAGTATATATATTTTTTATAACTTCATAAAATTTTTTAAAAATTGGCAGATTAATCGGTAATCTGACCCCCCCCTCTAATAATTGGTACCGGCATCGGCCCCCCAAAAATCCATATTGGTCGGGCCCTTTTATCAACTCTGTCTTTAAGTATAGAACAATACTGTTGAGGGTTGCCTCTGATATAGATAGTCATCTTTTGAAATCTATGAATTAACCCAATATCTTCTAATATTTTGTATATCAAATAAAACTTTATCCAAAAGATACTGTCCAACACAACCATGCATATTCAGGAAATGTTCAGGAAATAATTGACTGTAATAAAAACCCCACAACAACAATGTGATATCAACATTATAAATCAGTTATTGGCTGACCTACTCTCTCATTATTGGCTTTGGCATCAGACAGCATTGATTAACTACCAGTTTATCATTACACAGCGGTCTACCACTCCACATGCAAACCTCAACCAAAAAGCCACTCTGTAGCTGCAAATAATGCTCGGAACAGCACCTTTTATGCTGGAATATCCCTTTAAGTAATAAGTAGTTGCTTAACAAGAGGTTTTGATCATGGTCTCTGTGCAATAGAACAGCTTTGTCAGCTAATCTAAAGTTGCTGCTTATTGCTAGAAAGAAAACTGTTTGTAAACTTAACCGAATTAGTTTTACTGGCCACAATTTTATTTTAAATAATTACAAATATATACTTTTTTTATTAGGAAGATGACAAACTGCTCATTGTTGCTAGTGCAGGTCTCGGCCTTCATTCACAGAGAATACCATGTGCTCTGACTATGTTGTTTTCAGTCCTTGAAAGATTACTAAATGTGTGTGTGTTTACATGAATCAGTGACTGGAAGTCTCGACAAATGCCAAAGTTTACCGGCTGCTTTAGTACTAAAAAGAAACGTAATAGTTCCAGATTTTTGATATTGAATTAAGCATCTCTGGGATGTGTACAGAGTTTATTCTCATCCTAACAGATCAGTCAAGTTGTATTTGGTAGCAGAGCAGTAGAGTGAGAAAGCATGAGGGCTCACCTCCATTAAAAATACAAGAGGACCGGCACTTGCACTCATGTGAAAGTATACTGCTGTAATCCTGCTCTGAGATCCTGTTACCAAACCTGAAAATCTGGCTGCTGATTTGTCAACTGTTCATAAATTGTGCTCACTGCCTGCTTATGCCGAGAATGTCCATGTGGGCTTGTTTTCCAAAGACAAAAACATGGGAGTACAGACTCGAAGGCCGGGCCCAGCTTTCTTCTCTTGAAACTTTGATGCTCTGTAAAATAATGTCAGGACTGGGTGTGTGAACCACGAGCCCTATATGTGCGTGTTTGCACATGCTCACGTGGTGGCCTGAGGGCTTCCACATTTCCTGTGGACCGAGTCCACAGGCTCAGCTGCTCTACTTTAGCGGTTTGTACGCTAACAAAACGCTGCACATTAACCCAGCTCTGTGTTTGCTTTGCTGCCAGTCTGCACCAGCCAGTTGTTAAATGTCAGTGCTGGAGCTCACCTGAACTCCCAACAGCTGGAGGATATCTGAGAGCAATGCTGAACTCAGTCTGGTAAATTATTTGTTAGTTCAAGCACGGATCAACTTCTCGCTCTCTGTGACCTGGCTGGAAACAATGAGCTGGAACTTTGTTAATACTATTCTTGTCTTATATGCATTCACTGTATTTTTAACCATACATGCATGTATTTACTGGTTATTAAATATGTGTTTGAAAAATAAGAAATTAGAAAGAAAATTTAATTTGGATTTACTTTGAAAATGTATCGTTTTACTCATTTTTTAAAGGAAAACTGCCAAAGAGTAATCTTTAGTTTGACAAGAGAAGGACTCAGAAGTAAGAAAGAGGATCAGGGCCACAAGAAAAGAAAAATGATTACAGGAGGGAGATTTTTTAAATTTTCATTTTGAGATTAAAGTCGAAATTTTTAAAAGTTGAAATAAAAAAAAGTAGAAATTTTCGAGATTACAGTCGATATTTCGGAATTAAAAAATGTCGTGATTAATGTTGAAATTTCAAGATTAAAAAATTAAAATTTTGAGATTAATATTGAAATTTTGAGATTACAAAATGTCAATGTTGTAAATAATGTCGAAATTTCAACTTTAATCTCAAAATTTTGACTTTTTTTAGTTTCCATATTTTTTATTTCAATTTGAATCTCGAAATTTTGACTTTTTTGACTTTTTTAATTTCATTTTTTTTTTTAAATTTCGACTTAAATCTCAAAATTTTTACCTTAATTTCGAGATGGAAATTTAAAAAATCTCCTTCCTGTTATTTTTTTTTTTTTTCTTGTGACCCTAATCCTCTTTCATACAGAAGCTATCATTTTGAAAATCTGTGATAAGTATTGTTAGTTTTTCTGTCATTAGAGTGAAGAAGGGAATCATCATGTAATGGATTTAAAATCCAGTTGATTAATCAATGATAAAAATTTTCATTTAACTTTGGACCACTCAGCTCAAATTTGATCAATTCCTCTCTTGACTGGAAAAAAAAAAAGTCAAAGATTCTGTGGACTGAAATGCTTCTGTGCGATTTCTGTTAATGTTTAAAAAATATCCTTACAACGAGATGCCCCATAACTGTTGTGAAATCGTGCACAAATATTGCAACACTTACAAAACTTCCTGCTAAAGCCTTTTACTTCCTGCTTTTGATCACAGACACAGTGGAGCATCAGTGGCACCGCTTACGCTTAAGAGTGAAATTTATTGGACCCTTAATGTAAAGATATTAATTCTGTGCCAGTCGTCACAGTTTTTGATGAATGTTGGTGAAGAATGCTTAGTGCAGGGGGATCATTGTAGCCTCCTTATGACTGACCTTGAGAATCTAGGAGAGATTTTCACAGATTTATGCTGCTGAAGTTAGAAAAGAAAATCTCCAGGGTCCATAGCTCATTGGCTGATGAAAGCTTTGACATAACTAACATGTCCTCTCAGCCATATTAATGCAGATCAGGAGCTACGATCAGATTTTTATCAGTGCAAACCTTGTGGTGAGCTTTACATTATACCTCTATGTACACAGCCAAGTTAGAGCTGAGCGTGGAGGGACCATACATCAAGTACAATACATCTCATACCCAAACATGATGAAGACAAACTCATTCATTATATCTTCAACAACCTTAAAGACAAAGAAAACAAACAATGATCTTCATGATAAGGATCGACCGGTATGGTTTATTTTAGGGGCCAACACAGATAATTAGTAATCAAGGAAACCAATAACAGCTATTTAGAGCCAATACTCATTTGCAGTAAAAATGCACATTTTGGTGTCAAAATTTTAGATAACACTCCTAGGATTAGACTGAACTGTTCAGCACTCTCCTCTCTCTCTCCCTCGCTGTGAAGCTGCACCTAGAAACTTGAGTGTTGATTGGCAGTCTGTGTAGCCAATCAGTGGGGACTGTAGGAGGGACATTGTTACACAGTCAAGAGTGGTGACTTAAGGCTAAGAGAGGTGGCTGTGTAAGAGCTGAATGAGCGTGTTTTAAATAAACGTATTATATTGGCTATCGGAGGAAAAAAAACGTCCGATGCTGATTATTGTAAAAATGCTGAATATCGACTGATATTATCGTCCCTGCTGATTATTGGTCGATCCTTACTTCATAATGTAACTTAATTATCTTTTAAGCACTTAATCAGTTGCAACTAGAAAACAATGAGTGAACCTATAACAGTAGGATTTAATTTTCGTTCTTATACTTTAATGTCTGCCCTTTCCTCTGGAAAGTCACTTGTAAAGTTACAAGTGACTTTCCATCTAAAATCCATTTAAGAGTTTTAATTCAGATTTTAATTGACAGATTAAAACAATCTCTGTTAGTTATTTTGAAGGATTTTTAAACCTTGTTGACTCTTTCTGCCATTTATCCTCTTTCCCTTGATCTCTATGATACTCTAATTTCTCTTGTATGCATTCCATACAAAGGAGTTACTGAGCAGCAGTAACATATGTACTAGTAGTGACACTAGTGGACATAAGCCTTTCAAATGGACCTTTTAAAGTAGCGTACAGTACAGAGTTGTCATCTCGCCTGCAGCTGTTGAGCATGTGCTTTGTGTGCATTACAGCCTCAGACCTGTAAAACCAGTTGGACTGAAGCAAAGCTGACCAAGGCAAAGAAACGTGTGCTGTAGAAAGCAAACCCGCTGATTTTAAAAGTCTGAGGTAGACTTACTTGTTTAGTTTGCTTCATTAGGGGTAATTGTAGTTTAGTGTATCCCCAATGACGCTCCTGGAAAGAAAAATACTACAAAAGAAAATGGCGGCCACTGAGATCTTATCTGATGGTTACATTTTGTTAAGAGTCTTTTGTTAAGAGCTGAGAGGGAAGGTGACCTCCTGTTTTAATATATGTGTCTGTTCCTATATTTTACAGGAGTGCCCTAATTACTTTGCTGCCAAGCTGTCCTGCTGGAACCAGGAGTCGCAGACAAACTGCAAGAACAGCGTTAAGGGGGGACATTTTATCAGTGATCGATGAGCATCGTTAGAAGTAAGTCCGCCAAAGTCGAGTACATCTGAAAGCTGAATTTAAAAAAAGAATGAGCCTGTCAAAAGCGCTCAGATAAGTCCACCTGATAAGAGGGTCAAAGACTTTCCTGTTATGGTTTCCTTTTTATACTGCAGTGTGCACAAGCTGGGACTCATCAGCTTGTTGTGAAGTGACTTTTGACACTCCAAAGTACAGCCTGATACGTGCTGTAGGGACCTTCCTCCTGTTGGCGTCATGACTTAACCACACCCACGGATATTGACCAATTAGGGCATGGCAGACTTTGAAAAGTGGCAGTGAAGTTCACGAGAACATATTATGTCCGTTTGTCAATATCAGTTGCTTATCTGTGCTAGTAACCTGGATTTGATTGTGATCAAAAACACTCTAGCTTTGTAAACTCACAGTCTGCTTTCAATCATGTTAAAGTAGATTCTTTGCATTCATCTTTTTATCACATACACAGGAATCTACACTATACTGCTCTTGTCAGCTTTAATGAGTGATTGACTAGATGTTTGATTTACTGTTGCACACTACTAGAGTACAGAGCTCCACGCCTCACCTGCTCTGGAGCAGGTTTGGGTCCGGATAAGAGATCAACACATTCAAAAGCACTCTCTACTGACTTACCTCATCCCAGAGCTCTTAGCTTTAAGAGGGGTAGCTATAGCAGTTAGGGAATATTTATTAGGATTCATATTTAGCATTTTAAAACTGAGACTTATTAAGGCATGACAGTAAATCCACTTGGCTCTTTGTGGTGATTTTATATCTGTTTTATCTGTTGTTGAGTTCATGAAGCTTAAACTGATACAGGTAATCTGTGGGTTGTTGAAAAGTATTAAAATCGGTCAGTCAATTTATTGAAATTTAAGACTATGATGAAAAGGTTTTAAAGTCTTATCCATTATCTTTTTAAGTATCTAGTTTTTATGTCGCTGACCAAGTGTGACAAAAAGTTTGAATTTATCCACATTTTGTTTCCAAATTAGTCTGCATTAGTCTGGTCGAATCTTGATAACATTGACATCTAAAAAAGTTACCCAGTTTTTGCTCTCATGCATATTCCACTGATCCACTACTTGACTACTGTCAGCTTGGAGTCGCTATGCTTTACTGCATTTATGAATTAAACTTCCAAATTCATAGTCTGGAGGAAACACGATTTGAATGGCCAAGGTCCATCACTAGTTGTAACCTGCAGGTGAGAATGACAGCAAAGGGCCAAATATGGGCAGATTATTAGTTTATCTTCTATTAATCATCTGCAGGCTATGCTGGGGTGAAATCAGCAGTGTTTGGCTGGCGCACACAAAACATAATGTAGCTACATGTTAGTGGTTTAACTGTCGATGCTAGTGCCGATGATAAGAGAGCAAATCGGCCAGTGTTACATTGTTGTTGTTGTTTGTATTTGATAAAAAACACATTTTCGCAATAACACTCCTGTTATTCCGTGTAGGGGTGTCCCAGTACAACTTTTTGATTTCTGATACAATACTGATATTGTAGCCATCAGTATTGACTGATACTGATCCTATATTGGCTCAAAATTGTGCATGACAAGTTTTTCACTCAACTGTGATGCCTTTTTCGAACTTAAACAAAAAATACTGCCACAAGGCCAACATCACTCTTACTCCTTGCTACTTTGTTAGTAACTTAGTACACACTGTTGTTGTGATTTTGCAGGCTTAGCTTGCTGGATCGTGCTGCTGGTTAGAGGTGTCGTAGCGAAGTCTGGAATGGACTGCTTGTATCAGTGTGCTGATATCGGAGATTTTAGATGCAGGCCGATATAATCTGATATTCATTTTTGTGCTGATAGCAGATTGATATCTGATATCAATATTAATATCGTATCAGGACACCCCTAATTCCATATTAACGGTGTATTATTCATGTTTATCTGAGCTAGTGGCATCTTTTAGATAGATTTAAAACTAAATTATGAGATAGATGGATACATTAGGTAATGCCATATACTTAAGAACATATGTGAAACTACATTATTCAACAGATCATGACAGATTTTATACTAAATACCCGCCGGTGACAGTTTCAGATTTGATAAGCTGTCATTTAGGCCAGGCAATGTTAACAGAGGTTGACAGCAACCCCACTGATAGGGCTGCCACTGTTGACTGCAGGGGCATCAGACAGCTTCCCTGCTGGGAACAGTTTTTCACAATCAGCACACTCAACACGGTCATTTAAGCAGCACCCAGCAGGCCACATGCAGCCTTTTCAATGTTCTCTATTTCCCACAGCAAGCTAGACGTCTGTGTTTTTCCAAGAGATGACGCTGCGCCCTCAGTTAATAAGAGCAATCTCTGCTCACTCCGGCCTTCAAGCTCCTGTTTACTGGCACAGACACACATATTGGCTGTACTGATTATCACCTTTATCAGGTCCCTCCTGTAAATTCATGCAGTTTATTTAGTGCGGGTGGTTGTATTGGATATGATTCAGTGTTGCCACATTGGTTTTCAGTGTTGTGATACTGGAAGGATTTAACACCGAGCTCCCTCCTCACATGGCTCAGAAGATAAATGTATGAAATAAGCCTGTACAGATTGAGGACGTCAACAGAGCAGAAACAGTGGGGCAGGTGTGACTTGAGGATTCCTGCATATATACATCATGATAATATATCTGAACAACGCATTAGTTGGAATGATAAAGAAATGTGCTAGTGATTTCATCATCCCATATATCCCCACAATTTGGGTGATTTCTTTCCAGCCGTGTTAATTTTTGTCTACATCATGTTTTTTTTAGTTATGATGTAATTGTACTTAACAAGCCAATTAAAAAAGCTACAAATAATAACTGTTATTATAGTATAATTATAGGTTAGATAAAATACCCTGATTTAAAAGCAAAGGATGCTATCTGCTCTGACTTTTTCTTCGTCACCCTAACATCTCTAATGCTGAATAGTGGGGTAAAGACAAGGCTGCAGCTGGTGAAGATCATGCACCAATTTAAAGATAATACCAAGACAGCATAACTGTAAATATGTCAAACATATGGAGCCTTACTCCTATAAGCCTCTGATTAGTCACACACTGTAAATTCCACCCTCTGATAGCAGGACGAGGACACTCTGGATTAAATTGGTCACGTTTATGCACACTGATTGACAGCTATGTGCAGCTGCATGAATAATCAATTTCATTACATTAAAGAACATTTATCAGATGTCCCCATGAGTGTGAAGAGCAGTCTGTGAGGGATCTGCAAATCTGTGCACAAGGATTAAAATAGAAATAGTTATTATAAATCACCTCTATGAAGAGATGGTTTATTGTTGCTTTAGTTGCTTTCCAAATAGGTAAACTTTGACGTAGACTAACTCAACTCATGAGATATTTAGATGTGAACTTAAATAAGTGAAATTGTTATAGTGTATTTATTTAGGCACTTATGTTGTTATATGTTTTTTTAATAGTATTTAAACTGCCATTTACTGACCTATGCATTGCTCAACTGGCAACATCCCCCATGAGAATTACCTGTTAGCTCGCCATGCTGCTTGTTTATCTAAGATATATTAATATCCATGCTGCAGCCGGATATAGTGGTGAACAATGTGTTTGCAGCACTGGCAGCAGTCTTGTTCTATTTCCTCTTAAAACAATCACATAATTCTGCCCAGTCTGATCTTATTCTCCTATTTATTGGACTGCTCCGTCAAATCAATAGGTCTGGGGTTTAAATGTGTTTATTATTCCTGATTAGTCAGCACAAACACGTCTTGGGTTCAAGTCTCGGGTTCAAGTCTCGGGTTCCTCTGCTGCATTTAAAGCTTTAAAAGGAAGTCCCTCAAGCTTTTGCTGCTGGATGGGGTGTCTGTTTAACCTCTTTCGGTCATTTACATGCTGCTCTTAATTTAATTTGCATTTAGATAGTTCCCTGGTGTCTCTCTCTTAATGGGAAAGCACTGGTTAACACCAGGATCCCTATTTAAGAAGATTGATCATGTTTTCTGTAGTTTTAAATCCCTTCCACATTTTATACACTTAGATTACAAATATTACAACGCATTTACAAAGAATTCAACACCAACCATCCTTTGACATGGACTCTACCTGATTTATGTGATGGACACAACATATGACTAACCAGCTGATTTTGATGCCGACGAGTGGGGGTAACTAAGTTCACTACATTGACTACAGCCAAGCACTCCCAATTGCAGTGTACACAGTTTTACAATTTTAAATATTGTTTAAAAATCAACCCCCTAAAACACAGGCCACAATGTTACAGTGTCATCTAGCAGACACTTTTTTCCAAAGTGGCGTACACATGAGAACAACACAAGCAAAGATCGAGACAAGAGGGAGACAAGTAAGATCAGTCAGAGCAATAAGTGCTTCAAGTCCAATTGGACACAGGTATTGCCACACAGTATAAAAGGAAATGCACAACACTGACGGAGATTTTTTTTTTTTCATCAACAAGAAGCAATCATCATCACCTTTCATCATCACCACTAAATTACCAAGGTACGAAGTGCTGGGTCACTTAAGGGCTGAGCATAAATTCACAGATTAGAGCAGGACAGTGCAGTCAACTGTAGCTGGAAGACTTCAATCAATCACTGGAGACAACAGTGGAGAAGCTGGTCTAGCTAAGTGCAAAGTGTTCTCTGAAGAGCTGGATCTTTAGTATGTGCAAGGTATCTTGAAATAAAACATAAGCCTCTGTATTTGATCATGACTGCAGACTTGGAGAGAGGACACTGTTGTTGACCTGCTTTGTTTTATCAAATAGCAGCATTTCAAACATTTCTTTACTCACAGCATGTAATAAAGATTTTTGTTTTTACTCTCTCCAGCCAACCACAAATCATCATTTTTCTTTATCCTTGAACATTTACACACTTCCTACAATCTGAGAATGGAATATCATGATCTTAGAAAGTTCTTGGTCTTTCTTTCTTTCTTTCTTTCTTTCTTTTTTCTAATATCTTTCTTTCTTTCTTTTCTTTCTTTTTCTTTTTTCTTCCTTCTGTCTTCTTTCTGTCTTTTCTTTCTCCCTTCTCCTCCTCCTCCTCTTTAGTCATTATACCACAATTATTAAATCCTGTCAGTGTAGCATTTGTGAGGACAGTCTTGATTTATCTCTTTTTGGGTCTAGTTTATGTTCAAAAACTCAGACCCTCTTTGTGTGTCATTCAGAGAAAATTATGGTAATGTCGTCTTTTTCTTGTCTTTTAATTTAAGCAGAATTCAGAGAGGATTTCGACTCAGTTATTGAGTTAGTTAATGCAGTGTTTTGTCTAGCTAACACAACTGAGCCTTTGTTCAGCGTCGCTGGCCCCTCATTAGCTGCACAGAACAGCTTGTCTATCTCAGCGCCCCGAGAGTCTTTCACTGATTTACTGAGCAGTAATGAAATTCTCAAGTCTTTACTCACTAGAAATTCTGTTGGGATTTCCTGTTAAGTTCAACTTGAAATCAGCTAATCTGGGTTTTGATGACATTATGTGGAGGGTTTTGTGTGGCTGAGATTTGAGGAGTCACAGTAGTGACATTTAAAAGACAATCTAGAAATGAAAAATAGAGATTGAACCATAGAGCTGCAGAAACAGAAGCATTTATGAGTAAATGAAAATAACTTATATGGTGTTCATTTACTCCTGTATATTATTTAAGACGTTTTCATTGTTAACGACAATGTAATATCTTTGGAAGTAGTTTTTTTTTTTTTTTCTTTTTTTTCATTCTCTGTAATTGTAATTGGTCATTTGTAGACCTTCAGTGTGTTGGAATTCTGCAGCTCTTTCTAGCACCATCTGTTTTCACTGGCTTGCTAAATACCTGTTCAGTGATTGAGCTCAGCCTTGACTTGTGCTTTTTCCTTTAAATTGGTTCTCTTGATTTTTCTCAAATCACATTTTATAACAATAAAAAAACAAAAAAAGACTAACTTGGATAAATCAAAAGTATTTCTCATCAGTTCATACATGCCTTACACACATTAGTAATATATTGAATTAACATTTACTATGAAAACAATCATGTCAATCATTTGTATGGTTCCCTATCTTTTACAGCACAATGAAATAAACAATTACTTTCGCATCAGTCAAGAAATTTGGAAATCAGACGACCACATCTCAAAGTTTTTCTCTTATATGTAAACGTTTGTCTCATATTTTTCTTGTCTTTATTATCCGTTTTTCCTTTTGTTTCAGGAGGTGTCCACTGCTGAGTTTTACAACTGGGATGGAAAACCCTGGTAAGAAAAACTATCTTTTAAATTATGTGACTAAAGTTTTTCTGGAAAATATTGTAGCAGAGTGTCGGGTGAAATCTCTCTTCTCATTGTTGTACTTGAGAGTACATATTGGCTCCATTGAAACTGATGAAATCTGCACGGCAGTATCGTGATGACTGAAAGTATTGCATCAACACAGGACAGGCTGGCAATAAAGGTATCCGTTTAGGGGCGGGACCTGTGATTCATTGTTCTGGTGACACTGTAGCTGTCTGATTGGTCCTCACACCGAGGACACACCTGTTTGTTATCAGAGCCGGTTTATCTCACTGCGTCTCATGGCCTCGTGTCTATTTCAACACTGAACCTGATCGCTGACAGCGTGTACAGCTCACACTCAGCGCGCCCAGAGGATTTTTGTTTCTAGGCTTAACACTGTCAGAACATTTGCGAGCGTTTTTGGAAGACACCTCAATGGCTGTTCAGTCTGAATTTATCCGTAAGTACCAGGTTTCTGTCTTAAAGTTTTCATTTTATTATCTATTTTTGCCGGAAAATACACTCTGCTATATCTTGATGAGATGTACTTAAAGCAAATGATTGTTTTTTTAATTTGGTTCAATCAAACACCAGTCCAGGTCACGGCATGGCTCCATGATCATTTTACCAGTAACTAGGGGTTGACAGGAACAGATTAAGGAAGCGTGATCTCCTTATCCCTGCCCAGTCTGGTGGCCAAGCTGTAAAAATAAACTGGACTTCCTCTGGTGCCCTGTTATTTAAGTTTCTGATAAAAGCTCCACATTAATGTCTTTGTATTTTGATATGAGATGGCAAAGTCCACCAACATGTCGGCACATGTTGAGCTATTTTTAGCGTTTGTGTGCATTTGTTTGGCATGATGATGATGGTTGATTGGTATTTTTGTGAGTCATCAGGTTTTTTTTTTTTTTGTTCAGCTGGGTTTCATGTTCTTGTGTCCGTAATCTTAAAAAAAGGTGTTTGTCTCCATCTGCTGCTGCTCTGTGGAAAGACTATAAGGTCGAGGCTGGGATAGGTTGTTATCCATGTTTGTTTTTTGAAGCAATGTCCTGGAAAGTTGTCCTGATTACATCCTCGCACCCAAACTCTGATTGTGGTCTCTGCATTCCACACATTCTTGTGTCACAGTTTGACTTCAGAGCATGAACTGGACTGCAGGGGGAGCCACTGTGAGACTTATGTACAGTATTTAAAAGGCCACATATGTAGGGTATTATGAGGTCAGTGTTTTTGATGTGACTATGTCCTTAAAAAAACATGAATAGTTTGCTTAGATAGATGGTTTAGATAGTTGGATAGTTTGCTCTGTTACTGCTCAGCCCAGATCTTCTTATTTTGACCTCTTGATAAACTGTTGAAGGGATACTCCACAAATTTTAAAAAGTTTATTATCTATATTCAAACTTTATTATCTTAATCAATACAAAAACACACAAATTGGAAACAACTCTCTTTGGCAGAAAGACTCAACAAATTTAAAAAAGTAAACAATAGCCACAACACTAATGTTGCAGATCAAAATAAAGTGTAATTTGCTAAAAAAATACAGAAGTTTGGCATACTTCTTTCAGAGAAACGTTAGTTTCAGGCTATATTTGCCTCTTTATGTTGAAAGGGAAGATCAGAAGAGCATCATGAATCTTCAATCTTTTAGTGCATTAGCGTCATATCATCATCAGAAACTTAATTTTGAGAGCAGGCTATTATCATCACTTTTTCTCTCAGCAGTGGAGTATAGCTTCATGTTCGTCATGCTGATGGCTGCTTTTCTGTCATCTCCATTGATACTATTTCTCATATACGGAGATCAACCATATCCTGTAGTGACAACTTCTTTCTCAGAAAGTTAAAACTTTATCCTCTTATGAGTTTTCTCTTAAAACTGTAGGACTTAATTCTGCTGTTAATAATTCATGATATGAATCTCATAAAATTATATCTTCATTGTATTAAATTTATGACTTTAATCTTGTACGTTTTAATATTATTCTTAGAAATTCACTACTTCACTCTTGAATATTATAATGAAACAATATTTTCACATCGCCTTAGTCTGGGTGGTATGGGCTCAGGCGAAGAGGAAGTCTATATCATTTCTGGATCATTTCAATATATGTTCCAGTTTAAACCAGCAGCAATAAACTGTTCACAGATAATGGTTTTTAGCAGTGATTGTGAGGATGTGCGGTGATTTCCACTGCAGAGATATGTCTGTTTGTAATGCAGTGCCACCTGAGGACCAGTTTCCCATTCCTCATGTTTTTACTCAGAGTAATATTATTCTGAAACTCTTAAACTTCTCGGTCACTCAGTCTCACAGGATGGTGACCCTCTTCGCATTGTTACTTATGAAAAACTCAGCCTCTCTGAAATGCCATTCTTTTGCCCAGCCATGTTTGTTAATGTTTTGTAAAATCAACCGTATTAGTCAGAAAATGTTCCTTTAGGTGATTTTTAAAAAGGGAAATAGATAGATTCATATCATCACACAACTCTTGTGAAATGTGTTGCTTGCATCAAATTAAGAAAGTCTATATTTTTCATAAAGCAACCACACTTCTTAGTCTCAATTTAGAATCTTGTCCTTGCTCTATTTGAAGTCACAAGTTAGTAGTGAATAAAGGTTAGGAGGCTACAGTTAATGATGGCAGAGTTGTTAAAACAGAGTTGTTAATACCTCATAAAATACGTTATGGGTTGGCACTCTGTAGTTTAAAAGGACAATCCCTGGAGAGTCATCGGACACCTCTGCTGTGTCACTTCCTCTTCTCTGGCTTTGAGCTCCACCTTGGCTCAACTCACCTTCCACTTCTCAAGTTACTTCATCCCCGCAGAGCCCGCCCCCCTCGCTTGCCTCTCGTCCTTCAGGGAGCAGCGGTTAGTCAGTGTGTGAAATGTTGCTAGCGGGGGGCCCACTGCATCCCTCAAGGATTGATGGTTGGCTCGGCCAAACCTCAAAGCCTGCCTGCCTTGAACTTTGCCCCTGAAAACTCTGCCCTCAGGAATGAAAGGCATTTACTGCAGGATTACCTTATTGGTGTACCTCACATATGAAGTCAGAGCCGCGAGAAGGGAGGGACCAAAGAACTTAGCGAGTGAGTGTGTTTGTGTTTTAAAGCAAAAGGAGGAGGGAGGAAGGGAGGGAGAGACCGTATCACCCAGACAGCAGGGAGAGGGGGAGGGCAAGACTACAGAGACAAGAGCGACTGAACGACACAAGCCAGCGGTCCAGACTGTCTTAAGTTACCAAAGCTCTGATGTCTGGTTCGAGTGGAGTAAGGTGGCTTTAGGTTTTCCTTTCCTGCTGCTGGCCTCTGGAGAGGCAGGGCCCGGCAGGCCAGCAGGGACGGGAGCTGTAGCATGGGACACAGTGCTAGCAGTGAGACAGTGGCCCAGCAACCGGCCCAAAACATCACGGGTGAGTTGGAGTCAAAAGGCTCAGCACTAAGTGGTTGCTGTAAACATATGATGTATGCCGCTGGTTTGCCTTTATGTTGTAAATCAACCGAAAGGGACAAAGTAAATATTAGCAGGTGCTTGAAGAGGGGAGACTAAGTGGAAGGCAGCAGGCTCAGACAGGTGTACAAGAATGTATGCAGATGGAATGTGGTGATTGTGAAATACACCAACTTCTCTGTCAGCATGCAGCACTCTGCGTCTCTGTGGAAGCTGTTTTGAAAACAACATTCAGGTTGTAAGGCTCTGTCCGACACAGAATATCTCCATCATTTTATTATTCAACATTGTTTGTCAAGCCAAGGCATAGTAAGGACTGTTTCGTTGTCAAGCCCCCTTGTCTCTTTGGTTAAGCTAAACACTTGAAACTTTCAGAACCTGTTTTTGCTGTCAATAGGAGGGTCCTGTGTCTTTGCACACGTACGGTTCTTTCTAATAACACAGCCTAAAGCTTTAGGAATTCAGCATCTATGTCATACTGTCTGTCGCCTCTTTTCAGCAGAATTCACAGCCTTTAATTTGTTGACACTGAGCTGTAGGTCATTGCCTAATGAAGGGCTGGCTAGTATGACAGAAATACGATTAACATATAATTTGAAAATGCCGTCAGCTTGAAGAGTATTTTATTTTTTGGTGTATATATTCTATATTTTAGCAGATGGACCCACTTAGCCCTCTTCTTCTATGGAATCATTGGCATTGAAATTTAACAATTTTCTTTAATATACAGTGGAAATAGAAGTGGTCCAAAGATGGATCCTTGGGGTACTCCTTTGCTGACCTCCATAAACTAACCCTGTTATAACCAGAGAGCTTTATGTTTGTTGTAACATTTGTATGATGTATGAAATTGATCACAGTCTTATGCAGAGTAGGGATGGGCGATAAATTTATCGTTCATGATTTATTGTTAGAAAAACCCTCCAGGATGAATATTCGCCATCTCACGATAAATGCAATAAACTTTCCTTCAAGATTAAGGCTTAGATGGGTGCAATCAGGATGCCTGACATTGGACATGTTTGATATTACTAGTTTTCTCCATAACCCACCACTTAAACTTGTGGTTAAGTATCTTGTTTGACTATGCCAACTGGTGTTCTCAGGACAGAATGAGTCAAAAACATAGATAGGAATTGTAATACTTGTTTTATCCTGACTTTTATCGTTATCACCAGAATGGCAAAACTTCTCGTGATTAATCTTTTAGTCCATATCGCCCATCCCTAATGCAGAGATTGTTTGACAGCCCAGCATCTACCTCTTTTGTAGGTTTAAAGACACTATGTCGGTCTGATTTCTCTGCTGTTCTGTTCGAACACTTTGAAACACACATGCCTGTAGAAACAAGAGACACAGGAATATCATCCTCCAAAGTGTATTTTTGCCTCAGGAGTGCCACTGTGTGAACCGGTGTCAACATGAGGTGTCATGTGATTGGCATGAGTCATATGGACAGCTTGACCAAATGACTGCGGGCTATTACATTAGTGGTGGGCGGTGAATCTAGGTATCATGTTCTGCGTACATTTACAGGAGCACATGTTGTCACTCCAGTCTCAGCTTTTGTTTGAATAAGCTCTCTTGTTTGAGAGTGGGTTTATGAATGCATACCTAAGGCTCGGGTTGAACAGCTGGTAGTGGTCTATCCCTTTTTTTACTTGCTGTTTTTTTTTTCTGTGAAAAGCAGCCGCCTCATATTGTCATTGTCTCATGTCACCACATCAGACTCTGCCTCAGTTAAAGCTCAACCACATCTGTGCAGTCCCAGTTTACAACCAACCCACCCTTCCCAGTTTAACACTCTCTGGAGTCTGTGTTATGTGTCAGAAATAGCTTTGAGGTCACAGACCTCTGTTGCCTGAATTTCAGCTCAAGATTTCACACACAAATGCTTTGCTCTATACAATGAGTATACAAAAACGTTTATGGAGAGAGACAAGATTGCATCAGTGGGACTACAGCAATGCGCAGTTTTTGTACAGATGTGTAGCTCTTTCTTATAGACATCCTAGTAGCTACCAGTGTGGAAGTTGAGCTCAGCCTATTGTGGTACAGGGATACAGACAGATCTGCTGCCTGTGGCCAGTTTGTCTTGACCTGCACTTTCCCCACTTCTGGTCACTTGTCTTAAATTTTGGAGTCTTTCAACCAAACCAGAACTCCACACAATAACAGCGTGAATAAAATCATCCAAATATGTAAGGGTCTTTTACCTGTATTGGTAAGTTCATTTATGTTAATCTGTTATATTGAACCTTGGCTTACCCTTAAAAAACAAACTTACCTATCAGGCAGTAGGAGACAATCAAGTAGTAGACTACATATTTCAACCAAGGCGGTCTGTTGATTTAGAACAAAGTGATGGATCAGCCAGTTCTGTTGAAATCAATCAAAAGGATCTGTGTGGAACATATTCAACAAAATCTGATCCTTTTATAACTTTACAGCCATCAAGTACAGCCTTATAGATGGATTATTCCAAAACAAACAGAGTAAGGAATTCAAGAGAAAGGCCTTTTAGCATAATAGCAAATGACTGTGACCTGCCAGCATGAAGTACTTTTTTAATCTGCCTCCAGCAGAGATAAATGAAACTGAAGGCAAAGACACAAAGGATCAATTAAAAGGAGGTCAAGGCTGAGGCTATCACATCTTTCCATTCTGCCATGGGAGACAGAAAAACATTGTGGCTTTATTTAGTTTCAAGATTTCTCTTTTTTCTCATTCTGTAAGTTGGAGTTCATAATCTTGAAGGTTCTTATGTTCTGCTTTTCAGTGAGTCACCCAGTACTTTGGCGTCAGTGGCACATGACACTGACAGTTTCTGTGGGTAACGACTAAAAGGCAAAATTCAAATGTAACTTTGAAACAACAATACGGCCATTACATACAATGGTGTTGGATGCCTGATAACCAGCAGTTTTTTACCTGGGAAAAAAGTTTCCAATTCTCTCTGTTACCGAGCAGTTGTACACCAAACTGCAGGTAGTTGGGTTATGCACCAGTGTAGTGCATTTATCGCCTTCTTTGTGAATTTAAAACAACTGAGTCTCACCAGATCGCCCTTAAGTGTGGGCTAGCTGTTTAGTATAGTCCTTAAGGTTTGGTTTTGAGAGTTGCTGGACCTTGCTGCAGATTGAGTGAACCTTCTCTCCTCTTGGATTTATGATAAAGATTCTCATCGTCTGTACAGGGTGTGGTCTGATTGGAGTTGCCTGCTGCTGCACATTTATCTCCATTGTGCGGAAAATACTTGTCTGCAGCCCAATAAAAATATACCGAATCAGTCTTAAGATTCAGTGAGTTTATGGGTGCTACATCAAAACAGGCCTATCCTCAGTTCCCCTCTGAATCTTGTTGGAAGCTAAAATAATCTCCGGCCTTGAAAACTTTATTCTCAGACTCTGGGTCTTATGAAAATCTTACAGGGTAACAGTCTACTTTTGAATCTGGCACTGTGTGTACGATCCCTCCTGGCATAGCTGACATTAGACATGATTAGTATAGTAATGTAAGACTGATTGTTATATGATGACTGGCGTTACTGTAATGAGGGTAGTGTCAATTGTAGAACGCTGATATTTAAGACTCTGATCATGTTGTTTGTATTTTAGCAGAAGTAGTTCAGCATGTATTTACTGGTAGGTTAATGACTGCTTTTCATTTCATTACAACATCACTCATGCAGTCAGTAATGTTACTGCGGGCGTGCATCCAACGAAGCCTACCATACACTTTGAAGACATATGCTCTACCACTCTTTTTCAACCTTTTTTAGGACACAGACTTAGGAAAGACTCTGTACCTGTGTTCCTCATATAATATAATGTCATATCGTATCGTATCATATCATATCATAATGGCTCTCATATCGTATCATATCATATCATAATGGCTCTCATATCGTATCATATCATATCATAATGGATCTCATATCATATTATAATGGATCTCATATCATGTCATATCATATAATATCGAATCTCAGATCATATCATATATTGAATCTCATATATCATCATATCATATTGAAACTCATATCATATCTAATATCATATTGAATCTTATTATCAAATCTCATAAAATATCATATCATAATGGATCTCATATCGTATCATATCATATCATATCATATCAAATATCATATCATATCATATTGAATCTCATATGTCATATCTTATTGAATCTCAGATCATATCATATCATATTGAATCTCATATCATATCTTATATCATATTGAATCTTACTATCAAATATCATATCATATCATATCATCTCATATGCTTCTCCTGGTATTAATTTTAAAGAATAAAATGCTGGTAGTGTTTGTGTTTCATCTCTTGGTGCTGTTAGCTTGTTTTCAACGTCAGCTTTGCAAGTAGCTACATTAGTTCAACTTGTTGTGATACGTAAATGAGGTTTATTTTTTAATGCTCATGTACAGTAGCCTGTTCTGTTAGGTTTGTATCATCTTGACTGAATGAAGTTGGACTCACAAGGAGGGTTTCAAATGGTAAAAGGAGTAATAAACTTAACTTATTACTCAACTAATGTACAATATCAAGGGATATACCGTTTATCCCAAAGCTGTAGTTGTTCTATAATGTCAGAATGTGAATTTACAGGTTAGCTGCTGCCTTTTTTATTGGTTAATACGGTCCATTTGTTGGTTATACCTCTTTTGTTACAGCAAGGTCTTTTTTATTATTATGCTGCATAATGCGAAAATTAGCTCATCTGTCTTGTGCAAAAGTTCCCGCCTTCCTTTCTGCAGCTTCACCGCAGACCTTCTGCACGGCCTCACGCTCTCTGTTGAGCAACTGCTGCCGCACGACTCATCACCAAAGAATTACTGCGGTAGTTTTCACGCCCAGTTGTTGCCGTTAGAGGATTTTCAATTACAGTAGACCAACTCTTGAGTCATGGCTTCTGTCAGTCTTTCGGCAACTCCCGGCTGTGCGAACGTTTTAATGAATGTATCACCATCACTGCTATGGCCAAAGTCACATTAATTCACACTCACATGCAAATAAAAGCAGAAACGCTATGGTCATATTTCACTGTACGGCTCTATGGTGACAGCTGAGAGAGGCTGCTCAGTAGAAGTGGAAACTAGGCCGACCTTGTTTTGAGCATTGGTCATTCTTATGACAGATAATTGAAGCAGCTGCTTCGAGCTGAAGGCCTGCCTTATGTGTGGATGTGCATACCTGATGAGACTGCTGAGGAGGGACTTTTGTATCTCAAACTTGAATACATTGATGAAGGCCTCTTATAATGGCAATGTGGCCGACTGAAGGGCGATGTAATGCATTTGGGGATCTGTAATTGATGCATATATGATTTTTCATGTATGATTTGTGACCCTCTATTGTCCAAGACCTTGGTTCTGTTTTTTTATTGTGTAATTTAATGAGATGGAAGACTTTAGTAATGCAAAAAAGAAGGATTGTAGATTTACTTGGTATAGTTTGAATAGACGCGGTCTAATTAATCTGTCAGATATTTAAGAAAAATGGTGAAAAATAAGTCTTGGGATGATTTGAAAATGCTGTTTTTAGGAAGTTTGTCCAACAACGAGTGCTCTGACTGCATATTTTGTCTCTCAACTCCATCCGCTGCAGAAGTCTGTTCACAGCGGTCCAAATGTTTGTTGAACTGTATTTGAATAAAAGTACAAAATACAATTATTAATTCTTTGATGAAGCTTCATCAAGTGTCACTGTGCATTCCAGCTTAAGGAGAGCTTTGCATTTAACACCATAATGTGTTTTCTTGAACTGTTCCTATCGAAGATCTAAAACCGTTTTAAGAACCCCATATTTGTCAAGCTTTTGTCTTGAGGTCAGAGACAACACAACTGGTTGTGGCTAAAGTTTGGCCAAAGAAACACAGATTTTGAAATATTCGACTCAGTGTTTTATTTGAAGTTATGTGTTCATGTGGGAGTCACATCATTTGTTATTTGGTCTTCTATTGTTTATTATCTGGCGTCCGTCTGCTGTGTGTCCGTACAGAACCCAAAACAGTGCAGAGACTTGACTGTCTGAGTCCAAGAAAACCTCTAATGGTCTCCTCAGCTATTATTTTTTATAGTTATTGAATGGACTAGCCCCCACTTTTGTTTTTCAGCTGAAATCCAAGTAGGAACTCGCTGAACTGAACTTGTACGCTGCCGTCACAGGCTCTGGTAGTCATCAGCTACAAGTGGGCATTCAGTGCAGCGAGGATCAAATTCCACTTTGACGGTCTTGTAATAAAAGCTTCCTAAGAATTTTGTGATAAGCCCAAAGTATATGTGGCTTAGTCAGCGCAACATACCATGGAATTATTAGTAAGATTTACATTAGCACAGAGAGAATGGCTGAGAGGGAATCGAGTTGTGTACTGCTGGAAAATGCTGAAAGTAGGAATTGAGTTCACACTCGGACATGACAACAGAGGGGGGTTATTGTGGAAAAATCTCCTGATCTATGATATTGTGTAGGACTGACTCCGGAGTTGTTTTTCCCATGACCAGCTGCTGCCAAAAAAACATGTTAAGTATAAAAATCAAATAGCTTTGACTCCCTTTTTAATTCTTTGAAGTAATGGTATAATTTAAGCGAAAATTTCCAAAGTCGTGTTTTTTATATCTACTTTCTCATGTTCAATGCAGATGATGATGTGGACCTACAAAACAGCACAGCCCGGGGTGAGGAGGGAAACTCTAGTGGAGGATCTCCTCAAACGAAGCGCAAAGGCAAATTCTCCAAAATGGGGAGGATCTTCAAACCCTGGAAGTGGAGGAAGAAGAAGCACAGTGAAAAGTTTGCAGAGACTTCAATAGGTAAATTGGTCATATTACTTTTCCCAATATTGCGCAATAATTTATATATCATTATTATTACTATTATTGATACACTCTTCCTTTTTTTAAGCCTTAGAGAGAAAGATTTCTGTCAGAAAGAGTCGCCAAGAGCTGATTGCTAGAGGGGTTTTAAAGGATATCCCAGAAAATGGTAGATTGTGCTTTGGCTTCTTTTGCTTAAGAAATACTACATCCATGAATTGGCTCCACATAAACTGTATTTTTTAATCTTTGTGTGTGTCTTCTTGTGACAGAGAGCAATGATGTCAACCATTCTAAAGCTCCACCAGTCAAAAATGGACATCCTGTGCCAATGGACGTGGACAGGGTGTCCGAAGCAGGTACAAGGGTGTCTCGAGGGGAGTCGGACATTAAAGGAAATAATTCCCTCAAGCCGCCCCTACCGGATGAACGTCGTAGCAGAGCACCATCAGATGCCTCCCGGAGTAACCGGGCGCCTTTGGATGTAGACACTCACGCACGGCTTTCTGTAGACCCGGACAGGAGAAGCCGTCTGCCATCAGATGTTGATAAAAGAGCTGGGTCTTTACCCAGAGGACCTCCGCCAGATGACAGGTACCGCAGGGAAGAGAGGCGAGATGCCAGAGATGAGGACAGAGGAAGGAAGAACAGGGAAGACGTGGAAAGAAGAGACTGGCGAGAGGACAGGGAAAGAGATGGTGGGGCTGATCGGAGGGATGACAGAGACCACAGAGAGAGGCGTGACTGGAAAGACGACCGAGACAGGAGGGATGAAAGAATGGAAAGAGAAAACAGAGACCGGAGAGATGATAGGGATAGGAAGGAGAGAGATGAGAGGGAGCGTAGAGACCGGGATGAGAGGGAGAGCAGAGACCGGGACGAGAGGGAAAGGAGGGATCGGGATGAGAGGGAGCGTAGAGACGATCGGGAACGGAGGGATCGGGATGATAGGGATAGGAAGGACAGAGATGAGAGGGAGCGCAGAGACCGAGAGGACAGGGAAAGAAGAGATCGTGATGACAGGGAAAGGAGGGACAGGGGCGATGATAGGGATCGACGGCCTGAGAGGGAGAGGAGAGACGGAAGAGAGAGAGAAGACAGGGAGAGAAAAGACGCACGGGTAGATCGGGATGACGGGGACAGGAGGGATGACCGGGATAAGCGAGAGGAGAGAGAAAAGAGGGAAAACAGGGACAGACGGGAAGACTGGGCCAAGAGAGATGAAAGAGAGCGACGAGATGAGCAGGAAAAGAGAGAGGAGAAGGAGAAGAGAGACAGGCCTGAACCTCAACGGCTTGTGGAGAACTCTCGGCCTGCAGTCAGGCCTGTCTCTGAGATGGACTTGAGGCCTCCCTTACAAAAGAGCTCTTCAGAGGAAAGCAAGAAAGTCCGCCCAGCCTCAGAGTCAGATAAGAGGAGCACTCTACCACGATACATGCCTGCTGCAGAGTTCAGAGAACGCTCAGGTAAAACCCTCGTCCTTTGACTTTCTCCATTTTATCTGAAAGTATCTTAACACTCATCAGGGCCAGAACTGCGAGGAAACCACCAGTAACAAAGATGACTTTGGTTTACAGTTTTCTTAGTAGAAATATCTAAATCGTCGAGGCAGAGTACAGTATGACATAGCGTGTGTTTGTAACTTTGCTGACCCTTGTACTTATTCTGACCCCATCCTCGGTCTCGCTTTAAGCCTCACCAAGTAGTTAAACCAGTAATCCCAGCACAACTGCAACACTTCACCAAAGTTAATCTTGCGTTAGAAAGGCTTTCTTTTTCTCCTTAATGCACTCGACATGGTCTACATGTAATTAAAACACCATGCACTCTCTAAAGGTGAGGCTGTGGGAATTTAGTGGATGTCTTCAGGATCAGGGTGTGTGACCTTGACTTTACTTAGTAACATCTTATTCTGATACATGTTTGACCACTGCAAGAAACACAATATACTCTATGTACTTGTGGTGCAGTCAGAAAAGTTTGTTCAAGGTTAGAGTCAAGTTACATTTACTCGAGATGAGGAAATGCTCTGCGACCCTTTTTATTTGTTACTCCGACTTAAGGAAAATTGATATTTGCGACCCAACAAAAAACTATTAACAGCCCGAATGGTTTCTTGTCAACTCTGCTCTTGCACACAATTTATAAAAGAAAGCAAATGTGACAAAAAAAATGCAGACGCACTAGTTGTTTTCTTTCTCGTTGTTTTCCCCAGAGATTAACAGAGTTCTGATGCCAGTAGCAAAGCCATTAACAATGTGAACCTTCGAATATACCACTGTGTATCAAAGTATAGATCAAAAAATATTTGAGCTTGGATTCTTAGAGGTAAGGAAACTACAGTGGAAACAAATTTAGTGGGCTCATAGTATAAAAACAATCAGTCTGTCTCGTATTCAAAGTGACTGTGTTTTTAGGAGTAGTGTTAACTGGGAGTCAAATAATCAAGGTAATAAACAGCATCAGGAGTAGGAATTCGTAATGCTATTTTAAAACAGGGCTGTGTTGGACTTGGGCTGTTTTTGAATGATGAAACATTTTCAGACAACTTTCCAGCCATCATCAAATATCAGGATCTGAAGAGATCGAGGAAGCATGCTGGGCATAATTTGTCCCTGCAGAGAAATGAGAAAAAAACACATTTTTTCACATAAAACCGCTTTGATCCATGTTTATTTTCTAGTCATGATTCTCACAGCCATTTGCTTCTATAAGGAGGACATAAACAGTCACATTAGATATTAGGGCTGGGCGATAAACCGAAAATTTATTGATATCGAAATTTATGACAATAACCAATGTCATTTTGCCCATGACAATATATTCGGTGTCAAAGAAATAAATAAATGAAGTTGTTTTTGGATGTGTGTAGGTAGGCTATGGTCTCATGTCTCTTTAAGACGCTGTCCTATGTCAGAGTGAGGAGATGGAGGACGGTTCAAAAATTGTAGCGGCTGGAGAAGTAGACAAAGTTAATGTAGGAGGGGGTGAGCAGCTTCTGGAGTAGTTATCGTCTGTTTATTGTAATCGAGGTGAACTGCTCAGTATATCGTGATATTGATTTGAGGCCAAATCGCCCAGCCCTAACTGACTGATTACCTGTATCAGTTTCAGCTTCATGAACTCAACAACAAGTGGATTTACTTTCATGCCTCAATCAGTCTCAGTTTTAAAAGGCTGAATATCCCTTCCATGAAGAACCTTACTTCTGCTTTACTGCCTTAGCAACCCCTCTTACAAAGCAAAGAGCTCTGGGATCAAGTAAGTCAGGAGGAGATTTGAGGCCGTATCGCCCAGCCCTATTAGATAGAATCGAGTTTTATGAAGACAACCACTTAAATGTCTCTGTAAGACAACCTGCCATAGACTGCTTTGAGTGCACTGACATTGGTGATTAAAAAAGTAAGAGGATGTTGAGTGAGTCATCACCTTTTGAAGAGCAGTCTTGGTGAAATCTAAAGCAGAGAAGTTAGGACAAATTCACTCGTCCTACATACTTTTTATGAAGTGCTGCAACCAAAAGAAAACACTCTCTGCCTCGAAGGTCAGGCAGGATTAGGGTTCTCTTTTATTGTCCAATGCATCATTTTCTAGTCTCAACGGATGACTTTTTGAACTTCCATTCGCTGCCTCCGGTTGAAATGTGGGCTCGCAAGTATGAGCTCTGTCTCTGCGTTTCATCAAACGCTTTTCAATGTTTTGATGTTGAAAAAACCTTTACATGCACTAACCATGGTGCTGTGATATCGTTTTAGATAAATGATGTGGAGTTTGAACCTGACTGGAATTGCGTTTGTCAGAAACTAGAGAGTAAACACGCAGCTTTGATTTGTGGATTTAAAGGCTACATCAGACTCCTACGCCGCTCTGAGCTGTCTCTGTGTGTGCCGTGTGAACTTCATACAGTTTGATTGATTTTAACCTTCATCCTTTGATAACTTTAAAAGCTTGATCAGAGTGAAAGCTCTTTCTATGACGTGTTTGTGATCACCCTTTTTTGTTTCCCTGTAGTTACCTTGTTGTTTTTGTGTTTGTCTTTATGTGTGTATCCCCTCTATAGAGTCTGCTGCTGTCCGCTTCGCCCCCGACCCTCATCCATCACAAGACCCCCAGCAAGAACCTCCCCCACTCAAACAGGCCTTGCTTCCCCCTAAATTTCTCACCGAGTCCGGCAGAAGTCCGACCCCGTCCTCCTCCTCTTCATCCTCCTCCTCCACCTCCTCTGCTTCCTCCTCTACTCCTGTAGCCGTGGCAAAGCCTCCCAGGACAGTCTCCCTTATAGTTGACGACCAGCTTCGGCCGCCCCATGTTGTTCCTCCCTCGACTGATTCTGACACACCACCCCCTGTTCCTCCCCACGCCAAGCAGCCTCCTGTCCCTCCACCTAAACCCACTAACCGCAACAGCAACCCCGCACTGCTCGGTGAGTTTGTCGTGGTCTTTGTATTTGATTTTAGTTTTGCCTTTACATATCAGAGAATTTTCTTAATGTGGATTTAATCTCCCTGAGTTGTGGACCTCGCTGACATAGAAGCTCATCACAAGTTACAGAGAAATGTAGAAACAAGGTGTTAATCAAAACTGCATCGTCAAAACTGGCACTATGTTGTTCCCTGTGCTGCTACCTGGGAGCTAATGTTAGCAAAAATACTTCACAAGTACAGCTCCACAGTCAAGCAGATATTCATTCTTTTCTCCATTTTATTCATATTTTTAGGATTATCATGTTCAGTGTCAAAAACAATCATTTACAGTTAATCCCTGCAATATATAAGTCAAAGTAGGGCTGGGCGATAAACCAAAAATTAACCGATACCAAAATTTATGACAATTACCGACGTCATTTTGCCCATGTCAATATATTTGGTGTAAAAAAAAAAATTAGTTGGTTTTGGATGTCTGTAGGTAGGATATGGTCTCATGTCCCTTTAAGACGCTGTCCTACATCAGAGTCGTGAATCTACCTCATCCAGTGTGTAACAAAGAGGGAAAGACAGGTGAGGAGATGGAGGACGGTTCAAAAGTTGTAGCAGCTGAAGTAGACGAAGTTAATGTGGAAGGGGGTGAGCAGCTTGTGGAGTAGTTCATTTATCGTTATCGAGGTGAACTGCTCAATATATCGTGATATTGGTTTGAGGCTATATCGCCCAGCCCTAACTCAAAGACAACATATGTCAAAGGTCGAACACTTGATAGTTTTATGAAGGATTTGATGCCACTAGCATGTTTTTGAGCTTGTGTACTGTAGTGCCGCATTATCTTTTCTTATCACAACACTGTGTAATTATTTGTAGACCAGTTTCTGGATCCTTGCTGTTCTATGCAAGGTCTTCCCTGAAAATATTGTTGTGTGAGTCAGACCAGAGGAAAGTTTCCCACTTTGCCTCAGCTCATCTTAGATAGGGTTCAAGTTCGGAGAAGCCGCCTGCATTTCATTTTTACTCTGTGGGACATTACTCTGGAACGTCTGATCTATTTCCTCACACAGAGTGATGCACCTCTTCCCACTTTAACCCTGTTAAGGTTGTGAAATGTGTTGCTGGCATCAAATTGAAAAAAAAAAGCATTTGTTTTGTCGCACTTGCATTATTATTGGTGGTCAATTTCTGTTTTTATCAACTCTTTACAGCATCTTGTCTATTGTAAAATTAGCTTTATTAATAATAACAGAGAGGCAAGATACCTAGGGTAGGTGTTAAGCTATCCCTTATCGGTTGTTATCGTGTTTGTAAGACTGCTGAAAAGACTGTTAGAAGATCCAGACAAAGATTCTTTTAATAGCTGTAACCTAATCTCTCAGGTAGAAAACCACCCTGTTCAGAGTAAGTCTACTTTACATGCTTTTTGTTTCCACCGACAGTCAGTGCTTTGAATGTCAGACACATTTTTTTCAAATAATACCCTCAGAAACAGAGTTGTTTGTTCAGGTAAGACCTCAATAACAGTTATGTAACTCTCTTTGAAGCAGCCAGACTCCATTGACAAAACAGTCATTTTAACTTGTAGAACACCAGAGTTGGCTGCCTCACCCATTTAATCTGTTTGTCAAAAATATGTTGTGTTGCATCTGAGACATGTGATTGAAACACCAAAAGCACTCAACACTGCAAACCAACCAGCTGATTAAGTTGGCAGAACCAACAAGTAATTTCAGCGTTCTGCGAGCTAAAATAACAGATTTTGTTAATGGGATTCTTGGCTTGTGAGTGGATAATTTTGGTTGAAAACATCATTTTTCTCTCTTTCACTGAGGTCTGTAACTACAAGAATAATGTTTGTAGAGTGATCGTACTTATAAAATAACTACTTGTGCCTGTCAGTTGCAAAATTTAACAGCACTTTACTTGAGTGCATTGTTTTTAAGGATGCCTTTATTTAAAAGCAAAAAAGCAAAAACAAGGCCTCTTTTTGAAAACACGGTTGGTGCTCTTTGATTCGATAAAATATTTATGCATTTTTGACTTCACTGTAATGGGAGTCCCTTTTTTTGCTGGATGTGTTTGTGTAAATCATAGGCTCTTAATTTCATTCCCCAGATTCATAACCAAAAAATCCTGTCAAAGGTCACTTGAGGTTGGAATTCCCATGATATGTTAGATGTGCAAGGTTTTCCCACACCAAAAAAACAGTTTTTTATTTGACAGACCTTATCATTTTGGAGGTCTTTCCTTACTACACAAAGAAAAATAAGTGTATTTTATCACTAATTAGGAATATAAACTCTACTTTTTTACGGTGTTTGATTTAAAACAAAGGTTTTTACCATATTTGCTTTACCTGAAACTAAGACAAAAATGGAGGCTGCAGTTCTTTGCCGTGAAGCTGTTTCCTAACATGTTGCTGCCACGCAGGTTCAGTGTGTGCAGTCAGCGGTCTCTGAGGGTAGAGCACGCACCGGCTTGTCTTTGCACAATTTATGCAACGCCAGCACTTCTTTAGAAGTCAGATTGAAAGTGATTGGCTTTTAGTATTTCATGCATCCTTTGTCCAAGCATGCCACAGCGGCTCCAGCATATATCCTACCCCAGTGCTGTCTCTTCTTAACATTATCTGTGGCAGAGACACATTCCAACACCATTTGTTAGACGAGGTTTCCATACATATGTTAGTGGATTTCATTTCTCACTGTCACATATTCTACTCTAAAGGTATGTGCCTGCGCAGAGAGGCCTGTCTGAGATTACTCGGTAATGGACTTTGCATGATTGCAGTGTGTTGTGTGTACTGTGAAAGGACACATATACATACACACACTGAGAGCAATCCTTGGAGAATCCTGCTCCTGCTTGTTTCTCTTTTATTTTTAGCAGGTTGGATGCAAACTTTATTGTACATATTTTTAATCACAGGGAATATCGCTTGACAAAGGCCATTTTATGTCCTGATCCTTAAATCCATATTTGGAAAATCTAATCGCAGGCAATCAGCTGATGATAATCTTTGAACATGCTTGGATATGCTGCTGACAATCTTTGTGTAACATCTTAAAATATAAAACTCAACTTGTCAGTGCCTCCTGGTGGATGAATGCTAGTTATTATTTTGAAATTTTCTAAATAATTCAAAATGTAGTTAGGCTTTTTCTGCTTTATATTGATTCATCAATGTATCAAGTATAAACTCTAGTAAGAAATATATACAATGAACTTAAATTAGCTGGTTACTTACAGTAGGATATGTTTTTAAGCCCTAACTACTTGAAATTTTGGTGACATTGGGATTTTAAAGGGTTGTTAACTCCTTAATTCGGCTGAAACATTGCATTTATCATGGTTGTCGTAACAACTGTATGATGTAATATTTATGATAAGATGAATTAGTGGAACAAAATTGGAAAAAAAAGGATTTTCTCACGATTATTTCCCTGACGGAGAGAGTTAATCTTAAGTATTTGCCAATAGGATCTAACACACTAAATATGCTTGATGTATCCAGGATGAGTAACAAATGAGTTTCTTATCTCATGTTCAGAAATTTAAGTTATATCTTGACAAGTCTTCTTTAACATTAAACCCTGGGTGTATACTCTGCATCTGGACAGTGTCAAGCCAGGCCAGAGTTATCCAGAATCCTCCCTCCCCCCAATGTCTTTCCCAAGCTTGGAATGTAAACGCAGCCCCATCCCTGACATCTCCACTCATTTTTGCCAGCCTCCTCATTGAACAGGGGCTCTAGAGTCAGGCAGCCTTGTTACTGGATCAGCTGGAGACGTCAGAGCGAACTCGGCCTCTACCTCTCTCTGCCTGTGTACATGCGGCACAGGGCCTGCCAGACCTGCTCAGGTACCCAGCAGGGAGCCAGATCACAATGCATCTTGATAAAGCCTGCAGTCTGGTCTCATAGATCCACGTTCTCATCTCTAATGGATCACCTCTGCTCCATCTTAACACCTGTAGTCCATTGCATGTCTTTTGCAGCTCACTGGAGCTGTTCTCAGCTCAACTAACTTAAAAAAAAAAACAAGACTGCATGGACTCTGACCTGACATCTAATGTTCAAGAGTGTGTGCGGTTATGTTAATGAATGTCCACTGCAGACTGTTGTCCATTGACTCAGCCTCTAAAACCACCACTGACATGTTTGCTTGTTTTGTCAATGAAACTAACTCTGTTTGTTACAGACGTTATTTGCATTTTCATGTTTGGATTGTAGTTCATACTTCATGTGTTTTTTTGTCTTTTTTTTAATCAGAGGTGTCACAGTTTGATTCTGTTATCTTCAAAATAGAGAAGTCATTTTGTTCAAAGATTAGGATGAACGATTCTGAGTGTTTTTGTTTTTTCCACCGCCACCTATGAGAGAAAAAACCCTCAAGTGATGAATGTATAATGACAACATGTAGAGGCACAGATCATCTTGATAATATTCAACAATATTATTGTGGCCCTAAAGTATTTTATAACCAAAGATTTTAATGAAGGCCATGTTACTTTCATTTAACACCAAAAACAGCAGACTATGACTTGAAGATTTATATTTTTGTCATGATTTAGGCCTTTATTGTCTTTTCTAGATTGCCAAATTTTTGCATAGTTATATAAATGTTCATAATATTCACTTTGTCTGAGAAACAAACAGAATAATAAAGATTCTGACTATGTTTATACGTGCCTGGCTATTTTCATAAACGGACATTTCACCCTCTCCGTTTACAAAAAAAAACTAACCTGTGAATAAATGCCGTCAAGCGCATATCAAACATGTGAGTGGCAGTGTAGCGAGACGCTCAAGCCCATGTTAGAAAATCAGAATCCCACAAAGCAGTCAAAAACAACAACGCCCCATCCTTCTTTCCTGAGCACAATCTGCCATCAGCTACCCAAATCTCTGTTTTACTACAGTTTTCTCCGTTTAATCTTCACTCTGGCCGGAGTTTTTAAATAGCATCATTTTAGGGTCGAATTCTCCATTTGCGTCTAAAGGAAGGGTGCAAATGATGGTTAATGTCTCAGTTTTAAAAATATCTGGGTATGTATAAACAGGGCCTCTTAATAATCTTTACACCTTGTTTTTCCTTGTTCAGAATTTAAACAGAAGCGTGCATGATGATCTGTTTAACTAAGATCTTTAACCGAATTAGGTATTTGGAGAACTGTGACACCCCTGATTGTTAAATAAACCTCTCAATGATTGTTTTTTAACTGTTTTTTCAATCAATTTAACAGCTGAGCTCTCTCAAGCTGGCAGTGGCGTCATCATAGTGCCAGTGCCTGCCAAGCGCTCTCCACCGACGCCACCCAAGAGGATGACCCCGGTCACAAAGCGCCATGCCAGTGATACTTCTCCCCCGAGTCAGGCGCCGGAGTCTCCCACCACTGAAACCGCCTCTGCTCCCGCGCCGATCCCTCCTGCTGTCCAGAGAGGAGAGAACAGTGAAGACAGCCCTGCAGCTCCCCAGACCTTCCTTGAGACTCCGCCTTCGCCGCCATCCCACATACCTCCGTCTCCTCCGAGAGTTCAGTCACTCCAACCGCCAAACTCCTCTTCCTCTTCTGCTCCTGTGCCCGCTATTCAAACGGACCCCCCCAGCCCCACCACAGAGCCCCCCAGCCAGCCTCCTGCCATCCCCCTACACATCCTTATCCAGAGAGCCCTGGCCAGCCCCGGTCCTGCTCAGCCCAATCCAGACGGCTCCCAGAGGGCTCACTCACTGCTGTTCGAATCTCCTCCAGATTTCTTGACTGAGGCGGGGGGGAACTCACGCCACTCTCTGCCCATCACCATCGAACCTCTTAGACTGTAAGTGTTCCACTTTCTGCGCATTACAATCTCACTCTAAAAGTGGGGAATAAAGGAGAGCCATTTCCTCCTTTTGGGATAAATGTTTTTTATATTATTTGTCCAAGTCAAAGCATTTAGGTTTCATATGCACTATAAGAACGATTCTCTATAAAAGATGGTAGAAAAAGTAAAAAGTAGTATAAAGAAATGAAAAAGATAAAACATTAAAGAGACACAAAAACATAAAAGTAAAGTTCTCACACTTTGAGTGAACTTCTGTAACTGTATTTATATCCGTGGGAGTTGAAGTGGGGGGAAAAGTGGACCTGACTACCCAGGGCCCGAGTACAGAGAGGGGCCTACTGACATTGAGAGTGTTCAGGGCCCAGAATTTGGTGTTACGCCCCTGCTTACATCGATCCTGCCGCTCTTCTATAACTCATCATTACAAGTTTGGCAGCAATTAATTTTAAATTGCTGATTTTTTTGTGAATTTCATGTAAAAGTAAAAAAGTCGAAATCCATATGACTTGAAGATTCAGTCATCGTATGTTTTCTATAAGGATCACATGCACATAAGCGCATACGTAGTGTATACACACATGCACCAGTGTTAAGCACTGTCCTTATAAGAGACTGTAGTCCACAAACAGCACACCTCACCTGTCACCTGGTTCTTATATGACATATGGATTACACTATCTTCATAAAGTCTCAAAGTGGAAAGAGTTACTGAGGAGTTTAATCAAAATTGGCAGGAGGGAGTGTTTGTAACAGTTCAGCCTGGTTCTCGGGACTCTAAACCTGCCAGAAGGTAAAAGGTTGAAGTCTCATGGCAGGATGAGAGTGTGAATTTTTGTCCTTGTGTGATAACAGACTGCTTATAAAGAATCTGCAGTGACAGGTGATTTTTTTTTTGACCCCATATTCTTTATGGCTGTCTGCAGCTGGAGGGGCAATCCGTGAGCTCAGCCACACCGTCAAATTACCACACCAGGCAGGCTATAACACCGTATCTTATGTATTTTCCAGCGCTATAATAAAGTGAGAGGATTTTCTGCTCCACTCCATAGAACTAGAGTCTGTGTGAAAAAGTGCATATGCTGCTGGAGTTGGGAGAAAAGATATCTGTATGAACCAAACTGAATGATAGGCTGTTTTGCTTTTTTAAAGCACAGATTAAAAACACAAGGGGGGGTAAGGGGTGTCCTGATACAACTTTTTGACTTCCGATACAATACCGATATTGTAGCTTTCAGTATTGACCGATAAATAAAAAATTGTGCATGACATATTTGTCTTTTTCAAATTTAAACAACAAATACTGCCACAAGGCCAACATCACTCCTACTCCTTGCTACGTTGTTAGTACCTTAGTACACACTGTTGTTGTGATTATGTGGGCTCAGCTTGCTGGATCAGATAGAGGAGATAAATAAGGTGAGATAGAGGTGCTGGAGCGGAGTCTGGAATGGACTGCTCGTATCAGAATGCTGATATCATAGATTTTAGATGCAGGCCGATATAATCCGATATTCGTTTTTTTTTTTTGCTGATATCAGACCGATATCAGTATTGTATTGGGACACCCCTACTTGTGGTCACTCACAACCATACATTTCCACAGTCTTCGCCACATTGAGTTCAAGATGGTTCCAATTTTGCCACCACTCAAACTTCTTTAGTCGTTATATTGAGTAGCTAGGAGATTTCTGGGGCCTGTGTTGAAAACGTTAGCCTCGATCCTCATTAGATGTTAAGACATTTAGTGAATTTATTTTACAAGCAATTTTACTTTTACAGTTACTGAAGCTACATATTTATGGACGACGATATTTACTCAGCCTAATTCAAAATAAACTTTAATTAAAAAAGAATTATGGGCTTTGTTTTCTAAAGTTGTTGAATTGAAAGTTTTTACAAGGTAACTAACAAGACCTACATGCTCTCCAGCCAGACAAACAGGAGTTATGTAAAAGTGGGCCCCATTAATCTTTGAAACAAATATTTTTCTTTTATTGCCTCATCTTGAAATCTCAGATTACTGTTATGAAAAGGAGAATTAAAGATTATCCCTCACATTTTGAAATAACAATGCTGAACTTGTTTACAGACCAGAAGACGACGACTTTGACATGGAGGAGGAGATGAGGAAGCTACACCCGCCGAGGCCTTCTCGCCAGGCAGAGCTGGAACCCCGCAGCAGGAGAGGTTTAGTGGGGGACCCGAGAGTTAGTGTCATTCATGAAGGAGGAGGTCCTGGAGGGAGCGAGGAAGAGTCTGACTCAGACGGTCCCATCCTGTACAGAGATGAGGATGATGAGGATGATGAGGAGGATGTTCCGACAAGTAAGACAGTCTTTCCTAATCCGTTACATTGAAACCAAAGTGAATCAAAACTCAGACTTCAGACTTCCTCTCACGTTTTTATCCAATAACAAATATCTTAAAACAAAAGCAGGAAAAGATGCACATAGATTCTGTGAGTATAAACATGGATTTATTTCAAAACATGTACTAGAACAGAACAGAGACCACTGCGGTGCTCATTTCCAATCACTTCAATATCTTAGTTTCAAAACGTAGTCGTGAACATGCAGCCATAAAATAAAGAATGCTTTTATGAATTTCTCATAAAACAGGATGTGAGAACCTCACAGTCTCCCTGACGATGCATAAAAATACCCGCCATAGAAATATCTCCGGTGTACCCAGCAAGGCAGGATCGAAATAGACGAACAAGACCAATAATGCATAAAAATTCCACTCAGCTAGAGAGTGCACTTCATTCGAAATCACACCAGCAGCAGCAGAGTGAAGTACCTCTCATGAAGGTAGAAGAAACGAGTCATCCCCTGATAAAATACAGATTTTAGAGGCAGTCATTTACACCAAACACATTTTTCTGGCTACTGTCAACCACAGCATGTTTGGATTGTGTTTGTTGAATTTAATGTCTTTAGTTCGTTCATAAAAACTGATGCTCTACGCTCAGCTGTTGATGCAAAATAAACATTCGCACTCCCATTACATATTTTGTTTTCCGCGCACGTATTTACAGTGGCGTTAATGCAGAAAGATGACAAAAGTACATTCATAACAGATTGCCTCCGTTTCCTCATGAAGCCTGTTGAAACCATCTGTGATTGATTTTTTAAAATGAGCCATCTTCCTCTCACAGCGAGTGAAATTAATCAGGGCTGTTTTTCTTTTCTCGCTCTCTACTGAGACAAATATAAATTACAACGTGCCGAAAATGAAAGCTTTGGGCTGTTTACTGCACATTTACTCAGGTTTGTTTTCATACCAAACAAAAAGTGCACACAATGTTTTTGTTTTGTTCACAGTAACTTGATATATTTGAGGGTACGTTTTGAGAATTGTCATGTTTCAAATTAGGGCTGGGCGACAAACCAAAAATTTACCGATACCAAAATTTACAATAATAACCAATGTCACTTTGCCTATATTAGTATATTTGGTGTCAAGACAATTGATAAATAAAAGTTGGTTTTGGATGTGTGGGTCAGTAGGTTGGTTGGTCAATTAGATATTTACAACAGGTGCACCCTCTTGCAACTCTTTGACTTTTTCCAGGGTGAAGCAGCACCGGTTGACAAAAACAGACAAAATAAAGTGTAAACAGCTAAAAGCCCCATTTCACTTGTCAGATTTAGTTTATGAATCCTGCACTGGACGTCTACAGTTGGTTTTTATAATCAATGTTGATCTCAAAAGTTAAAAGAAATGCTCAGACATAACCGTACAGGCCGGAATAATGGATCCTGCTAATCACCATCATTAGAAAATAAGACAAAAACAGTTAAGCCTTTTTTTTGTTTACAACTGTAAATAATAGTCACTCACAGCTCCAGGAGAATGAAAAATAAAGAGATTTGGTAGGCTATGGTCTCATGTCCCTTTAAGACGTTGTCACTACGTCAGAGACGTGACTCCACCCCCATCCAGTCCGTAACAAAGAGGGAAAGACAGGTGAGGAGATGGAGGACTGTTCAAAAGTTGTAGCGGCTGAAGTAGACGAAGTTAATGTGGGAGGGGGTGAGCTGCTTGTAGGGCAGTTATCGTCCATTTAGCGTTATCGAGATGAACTGCTCAATGTATCGTGATGTTGATTTGAGGCCATATCACCCAGCCCTATTCCAGGTACAGTTACATTCTGCAAAAATAACACCCAGGCTTCAAAGTACTCTCAATATATCTTAATTCATCTGTGTACAGTTAAAGATTAATCATTTATGAAACGGGTTCCTGGTGTTAGAGAGAAGGTCCAGCTCTCAAGACCACTTTGTTTCAACATCATCTTATACCATTATCTGATAGGATAAAAGTGAAGCAAGTGCAAACTTTGACGATATTCTCTTTATATGTCATCAGGTGGGCTGGCGAGCCGAATCAAGAGGAAAGACACACTGGCCTTGAAGCTGCAGGAGAGACAGGAGAGAGAGGAGAGGAACGCCCAGGAGAACCACGACAACATGAGCTGGCACAACAGGGAGCAGTGGGTGGCCGTGAGGAACAGGATCGGCACCACGCTGACAAGGTAAATGATGTGCATCCATCTATCTATACATCCATCCATCACAGTTTGACAAATCAGAGACATTAAAAAAAGACCGGGAGAAGTGAAGAGGGATGTATGTTGTCATAGATCAACAAGAAAAGAGCCCAAAGCATCCTCGTTTTAATAGTCCGAAATGGCGTGGTCATGTAGACCTAAAGGACAAACTTTGACATGTTCTGGCATCAAAGTAAACTTCTCCCTTAGATACATGATCAATATTACAGGGTCAAGTTTACTGTTAAAATTCTCTCACCTGTGTTCTGATGTGTTTTCAGCTTTTTATCGTTGTCTTCATCATGTACTTTGTTTTTAATAGAGATGATGGTGCAGGCAGGGTATTAATATTCATTTGTTGTTTGTATATCCCTACACAACTTAAATAACTCCATCTGCTGGAGGTTTACTGTCTTGACACCCTCTGCAGACCACAACTTAAAGACCAAGTGGAACTTTTCCATTGGTGAAGTGACTATTAAAAAGAGACCAAACATCCCTTTGAGCCCTGATGATGAAAAATGTTGAAGTTTTTTGAGGTCCACTGATAATAAATGCTTTTTTTTAAACTGTTCAAAAGAAAGAAAGAAAATATCTGTACTCTGGGACACGTTACCTAAACTGCTGAACATGTACACTGTCAAACATAGTTACACCTGCAGCTTTCCACAGGGATTGATGATGGTCCTGTTACATCCATCCATATCAGTCTTTAAAACGTGTCTCGTGTCATTTGTCTTCAGGCGGCTGAGCCAGAGACCGACAGCAGAGGAGTTGGAGCAGAGAAACATCCTTCAAGGTAAGCCTCTTCTTCCCTCCCTCCCTCCTTTTTCTTACTCAATCCGTCCATCTCTCCCCTGCCATCCCTCATTTCTCTATTCAGGTGCGTTTGCCAGCACCACAAGGTCAGGCAACTTAGTTTTCTTGGTTTGTGCTGAAGCTACAGTAATCCTTTTAGTAATTCATCAGCGAGCAAATGTGTGGGGGGTATTTTCACCTCTTGCCTCTGGTATATTGATTCCCTCTAAACACAGTCGATTTTATGATTTAAATCATGATATGAATTATTTAATATATTCTACTGTCAATCCCAGGGTTGTAACAATATCAAAATTTCATGATATGATAAAACCTTGATAAGAAGTCCACAATACTTTAGTATTTGCGGGTTCTTTTTCCAAGTTTTCAGTTGTCTTTGATTGTCCTGAATTGTCGATCACAGACAATGACTGTAGCTCTTTGTTCTGCGTGTTCAGCGTTATGTCTTGTAATCTCTGAGCTCTCACACTGTTATGGGGAAGTGAGGTTGTAAACACTTCAGAGTCGTTTGGCCCGGCTGTATTTTTCCCCTCTCAGGGTGACTATTTGACGAGCGGCTTCTCATACTATTACCTCTTTCCCCTGATGCGTAGGACACTGTAGCTTAGCAGTGTCTGCACTTTTACCTCTTTCTCATTTCTGACCGTAAAGGAACAGAAATGCTTCCATACATTAAACTTAATACCTGGAGTATTCACATTATCGAATTACCTCTCTGTGCTTCCTCTGCAATCCATGCCCAGTATTTTTACAGCTCAATTTAAAGCAGTGAGGATGTTATGCACGTGTATGAGACCGTTTTTTTTGTCCCCTAGTGTCTCGTACCAACAAGGTGCCCTTACGTGTCTGGAAGAGTGACTTTTCAGAGACATGTTAGAGGAAATGATGAAGTATGAAGGGGCTGCAGTAAGAGGTGATGGATTGGTCGGTTGCTGCCAGTTGATAAAAAATACAGTTTTGAGTGATAAGATGTTCAAGTAATCTGAAGTCCTGTCATGTAAACTTCATTCCTAAAGAACATAAAAAACACAACTGAGGCTGACTAAAGTGCTTTACAGAGAGGGCAGGGTATCCACAGTGTCTTAAAACATGTCTAAAATTCTCTTAAAATCTCATAAAATGTCATGTAAATATGATTTTGAAAGGTCTTAAAAGTGTATTAACTCTACTTAAAATAAATAATGTTCCATAGGAATAGAAATTGATTTGAAGTAATGTAAATGTTCAGATTTCCCTTCATGTCTTTTGTAGTTTTTAGCCAGTATGGATGTTAAATGGGTCTTAAATTGTATTCATTAGTCTAAAAGAGTCTTGAATTACACACCGAACGCTTTAACACTTCAGCACTCTGCACTTCAATCAGCCCTTTGATCGCTCATTTTAGCATTTAACGCTAGTGAAATACATATGGTCCCCTGACCCTTGGCCTGTATGTTTCATGAGCCACTATACTTTTCATTGTTCCTGCTTTTATTTTTCATTTTCTGTCCTATTGTGTTTTCAAAGACACGTTTTCCCTCTCTGTAATTACTCCCTCTGCTCATACAGGCCATGAAGGCTAACTGTTGTACTTACTGTTACTGTAGTTTTATTGATTTTATTATTCCACCTGCTGAAGGGAATAAAAAGATAGAAATTGGCCGTTGGCTATACTCTATAATATGTATTGTCCCTGGTTTAAATAAATATACTCAAATTTAAGTTGCTGAAACCTGCAGAGACCTTGGGGGTAAAAACAAGAATCCACAAGACAATAGCGATGGTTTAATCTGTTAGGAAATAACAACGCTCATCTCTAAAGGAAGGCCAGAGGAAAGAGAGGAGTCTTTCACAGGTTTCACGTCTAAATCCCTATGAGCAGGGGCAGATCTCTCATGAAGTGGAAAGCTCGACCTGATTGCCTCTGGTTCTGAGCAGAGTTTGAGGCACTTTCAGGAGCAGTTGATTAGCCCACTATAGCACTTTAGCCTGTGTGTGAACGTGTCGAAGTTCAGCCTCAAATCAGCGTCAGTCCATTAACCCATTTAATGGTTGCTAAAGTGAACTGTCGGCATTTTCCACTTTGAAGTAGATTTTGAAGTGTTGCACATGTTTTAAATGTCAGTCCACCCCGGAAAAAACATCAACCACTTCATAGAGGTTGCATGATTTAGTGCATAAGAACAGAAAAACTTGGACCCAAAGGAACTGATGGAATTACATCAAAATTCACTAAAGAAATATATTTATCTCTAAACTATTTTTTTATTTATTTAATACTTTGTGTTTGCTGATTCCTTAATATTAATCTTTTTGGTGTAAAAACACTCATACCTGACTTACATTATATCCTGCTAGCTTCTTTGTCTCTGTATCAGCGTTGATGGTATCAGATCAGTGTGGTGGCTGGTCGACTCCTGATACCATATACAGGCGTGTAGTAGCTGTATCCGGGGTTCTCTAAAGTGAGATTGTTTCTGCATTCAATCTTTGGCAACATGACTGATCCGTTTACAAATGCTCTTGGAAAAAAACAAAAGAGTTTTCTTATGACTAAAAAAATGCTAAATGCATATTCCTCTCTCAAGCATTTAACCTCCTTTGCAAACATATAGATCGACACAGACACATAGTTAAACAGTCTGTTTGATGACTACTGACCACTTATTATTGAAAAGTCTCTCAGAAGCCTCTTATCACGAGCACTACCATTAAAATGATCTCCTGTGCTAAACTGTGTCTTTAGCTTGATGACTGTATATTGTCTTTAAAGCTAATTTGTGCTGAAATGGGTTCACAGTAGCCCAGAAATCATTTAAAATTTGCATGAATGTTTGGTCAGAATGTCAAAATTAAATAGCCTAGATTGAGATGTTCACACAATTGGATTACCAATTACCCCTGAAAATCTATTACCTTCTCTCCAGTACTCTACCGACGTGATATGACTCAATTTCACTGATTGTATGCAGACCAGTCAGCCAGTTGATTTAATGTATGACACATTCACATTGTTCTGATTACTGTTAGCCCCTATTTACTCTTCATTCCATTCAATATGTATTCATGTTTTCCCTCTTTATGCGCACACTCAGGTAGAGGCAGTCGCAGTAAGATTTCTGTACTAAGATGTGTTGTTTCGTAAAGCCTTGAGGCGAGGATTAGAAATTGTAGAAGCCTATAAACCAAAGGAGAATAGATCCACATGTATGCTTTTGTTATCTTACACACAGAAGGATGATCTTAATAAGGTATTAAATTTGAAACGGTGAAAAATGATATCAGATTTGTTATTATATCAAGTTTGCAGTGTGTAAACAAAGAAATAGATGCCAGCCTCAGCAAACGACTTGGCAGAGGTGGATGAAGTTAAACAAAGACAGAACTGTCTGTGAACCTTTAATCAGTTTATAAAGACAGTCTGTTAATTCGCTTTCAACCCAGTTCACCTTCCCTGTTTCATCAAATCTGGAAAGTCAGACAGTGTTAAGGAGATCTATTGATTTTCGCATCGTCTCTTATCTCATTACCTGACGCCGATGTAAGTTGACACAACTGAGAGCAGATTTACAGACATGTTAGTGAGCCCGACTTTGCTAATTTGTTCAGTGATAGTGTTTTAACCGAATGGAAAGTTGAAGAATCGTGTTGAACCTGATCAAAACCATAGTTTTAGAAAAACACAACAGCTACAACATTGATATCTTTCAAATTCAAGGTCAAGTCTGATGATAGTCACAATTCTGAATACCCTGTAATCATGACAGATTTCTTTATTTTTTATTCTTTTCTCTTTAATATTAATACCAATTAGCAATTCACAGGGTTCCTATGTAAGTATGGAAATAAATTTGATCAATTTCCAGGTCTTAAAAAGTATGGAAAATGAAAAATAAAGTATGGAAAAATTGTCATGTTTCCTGACTATTACCACAGTTTCTAAAAATAGAAAAGTAGGAAATTCCAAAAAATAATTCTAAAAAGTAGAATATGAAGAAGTAGGGAAATTCCAACTGTGTAGGAACCCTGAATTCATTTTTAAAGAAGGGGTACTGATCCTGTTTCAGGTTTTAGTCCACTCCTAATGATTCCCTAAACCAGCTCTAGATCCATTCTAGTCATACCTTGAAAGAGAATTACCTGAGATACAAACCTTTATTCGACTGACCTACTGATCACATGACAAGCCATCAAATTAGGTTGACATTCAAGGCCAGTGCAGAGCATGCCAAGATGCACTAAAGCTGTAACTCTGCTATCTTTACTTGTTATCATTGTCTGCAAATGAAAGACCAACATGTGAATATAGAATTTGGACATTTGAAATGTTGTTCTCATAAAAACAAAAAAGTAAATTTGATTCAACAATTTGAAAAGTAAATCATGTTTTTGCTTCATTCTCATTCTAACTACTACCAGCAGACGGTGAAAATCGGCCCTCTGCTCTGATGCCACATCACTGTTATCTCCCCCAGATTCAAGATTCAGACATAGTACTTCTCAGAATCTGTCAACAAGTTTTGATCCAGGACTCATTCCCCCACTCAGCTTCTCGCCCGTCCTTAAATGACTCGGCCAAAGCGACGCTACCCGCACACACACAATAGCGCGTATTGTTCGAAACGAGCCGGTGATTAGAGATTCCTGTAACCGCAGTGGGTCGACGGCAGCGCGGCTGAAATCCACCTGACTGGCCGCAGTGTTTCTTTCTCTAATGGAATGTTTTTTCTTCCCGCAGCCAAGAATGAAGAAATTCGGCGATTAGAGAGATGCGAGATCAAACGCAGGCTCACACGAAAGGTCAGGATTCACTCTTTTACACAATTATATCATTTGCTTTACGATGCTGCTCTCCTAAGTAGGCCGTATGAAAATGAAAACTGACATGCTCCTCTTGGTTTTCCTCTCAGCTTTCTCAGAGACCCACTGTGGCTGAACTCCAAGAGAGGAAGATCCTGCGCTTCCACGAGTATGTCGAGAGCACGCACGCTCAGGACTATGACCGACGGGCTGATAAGCCGTGGACCAAACTCACACCTGCTGACAAGGTGCGAAACGTACACACACATAAATACACACTCTCCTACCTCCCTTTGCTACTAACAGGGCTGCTGAGGCTTAGAGAGTCTTAGTGGGAGCCGGCCTAAGCTGTGTGCATTTTGGCAGCTATGTATTTAACTTTGGTCAACTGTGTAAGGATTTGCATTCTTAGAAGATTCAGTATCGCAGAGGAATCCGAGGAACAGGAATTCAGATGTAAGTGGATAATCGGGTCCTGTGAAGGTTGGGAAACATATAGGACCAGAATAATATATATATATGTACATGCTCGAATATGCCTCTTAAAGGCATGTTTACCCTCAGAGCTCTGCATTAAAATATGACCATTCAGCACCAGGATGAACACTTGAGGAAATTGTGATATAATATCCTTTTCCTATATCTGGGAAAAGGAGCAGTGTATGATGTTTTTACAAATACAGCTGAATCGACGGGTGAATCATACTGATACAGAACAATGCTGAATTTGTAAACATGAACAAAAGGAGGCTTAAAAAAATATTTTTAGCGTGTGTGTGATTTGCTCCTTGGGAGAAATTGGGAAAATTCAAGAAAGAAGTTGTTAGGAAAAGATAGATGAATGGATGGATGGATGGATGGATGGATAGATGGATAGATAGATAGATAGATAGATAGATAGATAGATAGATAGATAGATAGATAGATAGATAGATAGATAGATTCAAAAACACAAGCAGCAACAATGACACACAGTGTACATTCGACAAATGCAAACACTGTGACAATACTTACACTGAATCACAATTACATAACAACAGTCTGTAAATATGACCATACGGCAGTAGTGCAGAGTTACGAAGACATAATAAACCGAGATAAACAGATAAATAAACAGAAAAAAGCATAGTATGAGAATCAAGAATACAGTTGTAAATCTGTTAAAATCGAGTGGTTTAAGAAAATAATTGCAAATATATGGTGGAAATTTTTTATTAATCCCCAAAGGGAAATTCATTTGTGTGAAATCTCATCTACTATTTATAAAAGAATTAAAAACAACAAGGTCCAACAAGGTGTTATAATTATAGTAATAATAGTGAATATAGGGGCCCAGTGAAATACTCGAATTTTGGACCGGCCTAACCTGCCCGTCAAATTTCATTAGTTTTTCAGCATGTCCAGTGGGTTTTAAAGTTGAAAACCTTTAAAAATAATAATAATAATCCCTGCAATTTCAATAGCACTCTCACCCGCTGCTTGCTTGGCTCGGGCCCTAACAATAATAATAGTAATAATAATAATAACTTTATTCATATAGCAACCTTACAAACAGACGTGTACAAAGTGCTTCAAAACATGAAACAAACAAAGGCAGAAACCGGCAAAACTCAGTGGATAATAAATCAACAATAGTCAGGCAAAAAGGCACAGATTTGCAGATACAGTACAGTAGATGGCAGGTCATAGTTGAAAATTGATGATTGAAAGTTGAATGTTATGAAGTGGATGATCCATATTCTTTATAGTGGCCTCTACCTTCCACAGTGTGCGAGGGAAATATTGTAAATGAACAAGAATGAAGTCATAATTCAGAGTGAAAAAGAAAAGTTTATGATTAAAAGTTGTTGGGAAAATAAGTTGTAATTTCCACCATTATCTTAAAAGTAAGAAAAAAATCATCCAAGGACATAAATGAAGTTGTTTGTATGAGGAAGAGTCATTGTTCGACCCATATATAAAATAACATCTAAAGGATATCAGGAGTGCGTCCAGCAGTCAGGACTGATGTAGAGATTTTGAGATAGCGAGATCTTTTAAGTTTATCCGCAGTCTGACAACAGTTGACTAAAGATAATGTTGTTAGCTTTTGATCATGCACTGTCTTTCTTCTTTTGTGCCTTAAGTGGAAAAACCGCCCCCCTGCTGAGGTACTGTTCTTTCATGTCTCCTCACAGGCTGCCATCCGCAAGGAGCTCAACGAATTCAAGAGTTCAGAGATGGAGGTTCACGAAGAAAGCAGGATCTACACCCGGTCAGGCTCATATACACAAACACATCAATAATTCACCTGGACTGTGTTGCATGTTTATTCAGCAGACTCATCAATATTTAAATAGTCCTGTTTTGAAGTTCTTTCTTTTTTACTTTGAGGACATCCTCCTGACCTTTTCTGCATTTTCTTCCTCTTCCCACCAGGTTCCACCGACCTTGACCCCCCTGTACGCTCACCAGTGGATCACCTCACCTGGGAGCTGTAACAGGGTTACACTCTTCCTCCTCTTCCCACTATGAACTGAACATGTGGCTTTTTAAACTGACTGCCTGCTAACCTGCTTCAGCTTCAGACACGACTGTTTCTGATAACTGGAACCAAAGCGAAAGAAGACGAAGCCACGGATCAGTTCGCAGGAGGAGTTCGTCGTCGGTGCACCCATAATGGAGGTGCCTGTTGCCAACACTAAAAGAGTATAATAATAAAAGCACCTCCTCCTCCTCCTCCTCTTCTACTGCTGTGATGTGAAAAGAGTCAGCTTGAGCTGAAGTGATGGGGAGGTATCACACCGTGTCCCTCAGGGGAAACCACTCTCAGCATGCCTTTACCTGCCTTCATGTTAGATATTTGATAAGACTATGCACAAACAGAGATGATTGTAGTTCTAACACTGTCCATGGTACCACCACATTAGAGTTTATACTGTTTATATTTTAAATAAAAGGTACTACAGAGGTCCATCTTAAAGTGCTGCGCAGCACCCGCCTTAACCCTCAGGATCTCACGCCCAAAGTTTCAGACGAAATGTGACAGACGCGCGTACAGCGGCGTGTTTCTACTGACAAAAATCACCCGTAGTTCCGTTTGAATCCTAATTTGACTTCTGTTTAGAACTACAGAGCGCTAATCCTAACTTAATATAAAAAGTGTGCATTTTACTGTATTATTGCTGATCCTTTAATTGACTCTTTTTGAGCACATATGACTAGAGAAATGTCTAATAAGGCACCTTATGTTTCTTAATTTGGTGTGTAGAAAATTCAGAAAGTGTGGAGTCGACAATTCTGTGTTTATAACTGAATAATCCAAGCGGGAAAATGTACATATTTTTATTTTCCCGGCTCTTTTATGGTACTTTATATGCAAGTCCATAGTTGGCTGCAGTTGTATAGATCAATTCTGTAGATTAAACTGACTTTATATTGTACATCCACGGTAATGCTGACATATTTTGATTGTAAAGTATTTCTCAAATGTTATTTCCAAGTAGTTAATGGTACAAATATTTCTTTTTTTTTTTTATACAGAGATCTTAAAAATGTTTTTTTTTTTGTTGTTGTTTGCAAGCCACACTGTACAAATGAACAATCAACTCGGAAATTAAAATAACCTGTGATTTTCATTTCAACATGATGTGATTTTTTTTTTTTGCTCAGTTGTTCAACAGTTTCATCCTGAGCGAAGGTTTATGGCCTGCTCACATGACCAGATGAGGGCAGTGTTATATAAAATGTGCAGATGGACGCAGCATAATCCTGGTGCAATGATGTGGTATAAGACAAATAAAAGCCCTTATCAGGTTAATTTCCCTCCCGCAGAGTTGTGTTTTCTGCAGACTTTCATGTCTTTTAGCAGGAACGTGTGAAGTGCAGCTTGTGTTTCAAACGCTCTGTACGTCCCTTCGCCCTCCATTTAAGGTTGATTAGCAGTCCATAAGCATGGACTCAATCAGCAGTGAAACAGATATGCTACACTTAGACCAATCCCTACACAGACAGGTCCTTTTTTATGCAGTTTCTCCTGTGCAGTTGACCTTTTGAACACACTCAAAGAGCTTTTATTTACTCACAACAGAGCTTTCAATAAACGTCTTCTTCAATACCCATTAGTTAATGTGCACAGCCACTCGGGACTCGGCTGTATCGCATGTTTACAGGGAAACCAGCTGGAGAAAGAAAACCCAAATTTTCAAAAAAAATACCCGTCTATGTTTAACTAGGCCTCAGGATTTAGACACAAGATTACCGTCATGGGGGCAGTATCCTTTTAATGTGTTTTCTGGTGTGAACTGCATGAATCATTAGCTTACAAGTCTTCAAAGTGAGAGCCACAAATATTATAGAAAAACTGTGTAAACTAACCCTTGAGGAAAAGTATGTTTGAGTTTGTAATCTATAACATCAACATGTATGAATCTCACTCACAATTCAACATCTCAAATAACATCTCATCGCTGTATAATTCATGTTTTACATAGTAACTTATTGCAAATTTGTAACTAAGTAAAAAAAAGTATGTACTTATACTTTTTTTTACTCTGGTATTGTATACTTCTCTACTAGATGAGCTTCTAACCCAGCTGTGTGACTGCCAGCTGATTGGTTCATGTCTACCACCAAACAGTCAGGTTAACGAACAGGATCCCAAAAAAACGTAATATATCCAGAAATTCTCCCTTGCTGTGTAAATCGCTCATCGGCCCCAAAGGTTGCATCACGAAACCAACCATGAGTGAATTTCATCAGTATCGGCTCATCAGGTTCAGTGAAGGTAGACCATCTACAAAGAGCAATATTGAAAAGACGAAAATATTCAATGGATCTGTGCCATGTCAATAATATCCCCCCGTTGATGGTCTCAAGTTGGTTTTACTTCAACAGAGCTTTGTAAAATACGCTTTTACATGATTTGGGGTCATGTCGAATTTCACCTTCAGGATAAATAAATTCATCTTATTTTATCTTATGTTTGTAAATCCTACTTTCGAACCTCTTGTCTGCTCTCTGCTCTCAGGGTTAGAAGTATGAAGTACTTTGAGTCACTGTAAATAAAATACTCTTTAACTTGAGTGGATTTACAGACTTGAGTAGAATATTTCTGTACCTTTGTGTTAAGTACTACTTGATCTTGATGGATATGTAAAGAAAAAAAAACAAACCTGTTCAATGATATAGGCATATTGTGCTTGTGGAGGTCGACTCTAAGTTACTAACCAAAACCCTCTTTGGCTCAAGTAGAAAATGTTGATAACAGTTGACCAATTTTTCATCAAAACACATAAAAATTGGTCCAAAAGTAAAGATATCCTGGAAAATTATTTTCGGATTTCTCAGATTTATAACAAAACTACCCCAAACTAGATCAAACCGTTACCTGAAAGGACCAGATTATGTTAAGAATAACTTGTTCTGAAGTCCAGTCCTCGAGGCCCACTGTCCTGCACCTGATTCAGATGATGAGCTCGTTACAGAGCTTGATAACGAGCTGATCATTTGAATCAGGTGTGTTGGAGCAGGGAAACATCCAAAACATGCAGGACAGTGGACCTCGAGGACTGGACTTGAGAACCACCGATCTAAACAATGGTACTAAAAAGTGGACTGCATGCTGGAAACACCTTCAAGTCATATCGCACAGTAGTACCTTGCAGGCTGGATAAGGTAATGTTACAACTACAGAGGTTGAAATTTCACCTAAAGTAAGAAAATTTGCTGTAAATGATCTCTGGAAAAGATTGGAAACCCTTGCCAAAACAGCAAAGAGAGCTGTGGTAATTGAATTCAAAATGATCAGTTTGCTTTGCCATGATCAAAAATCCTTGTCAGTGTGCGGCAGTAGCTGTAGGTGCATGCAGCGGCCCTGTGATGCATTAAAGCACTTCCACTGCCACTCAACAGCCCTCTTGCCTACATTGCCTGTAAACCCTGTCATTTATCACCCTTAACATAAATATCCACACGTAAACATGTTCTGCTAAGCCAGCATCAGATTTATTAGCAGAGACAAGATGGTAAATGTTGAAGCCTGTGGAACATCATCTGACAAGTGACAGCCTCCAGTGTAAAAAAAAAAAAAAGCAAAGCCAGTGTGGATGTCTAGAGAAAAGAAAAATCTGTTTGACTAAGGAAATGTCAGTGATTTAGGATTAGAGATAAAAGCTTAGTATAATTTAAGTTTTTGGGACTGTGAACTTCAAAAATAGAGAAAAAAAAAAAAACTCAAACATTTTGATCTGTGTGAAAATAGACTTGGAGCAAGTTCGCTTTTAGCATGATAGAAAAAGCAACAGTACAATGAGTGAAAGGTGCTGCTGATGTTATAAGTAGTGCCACCTCAGAGAACAGACCGGATCCCATTTATCAGTAATTGTTCATGATGATGTTTGGCCTCCATAAAGCTTTGTTAGATCTCATCCTTTTGTTGTCCCTCTGAAGAAATTATCCTCCACCTGAATCATCTACTTTATTTTTAAGGTTACAGATTGAATCGTGTCCTCTTCTTTTCTGATAGAGATTGAGTCATCGGCGCTGAAACACTGCGTGACCTGGAGTGAACAGAACCAGAACAGAGTGTGGTTGACTGGGAGCCTTCAGCCGCAGATGGGCCACCTTAACAAACCCTATGACTCATTTAGAATCAGCGGTCACATTCAATCACAGACTGTCAGATGATCTCTTAATTGGTTAGGTAGTTATCACCAGGTCAGGTTGTTGATTTGACGTGTGAGGGACTAATTAGGGTTTCTGACACCATTATCAATGGAGGAAGAACAGCTGAATACCACGTCACGAAGCTATGTAGAATTGAAATAATCGCATGCAAAGTCGTTCTCTCTTTACTTTTCCTATCCTAGTCTTGTATTTCTTTTGCATGTTTTTTCGCTTTTAGGACTGATTCACTCCAATTGACATTCCAGTTAAGCATCATAATAATCTTTTATTTGTCAGGTTATTATCAAAAACTTCTATCAATATAAATCCATGGTGCACAACAACGACTCTTCTCACTTAGCCCCACTCTGATCGGAGCGTATTGTGCATTAATAACATAAAAACCATAGACTGTACATGCTATGGACACCTTGGTTCCGCCTACTGCCAGTATACAGATTTGAAGCTTAAAAGCTCTCGGTAATTCCGCGTTTTTTCTCCACTTCCTGAAACTAATATTGCGCAGTAAAGTTGTACTCAATCCACCACTTGTGCAGTAGCGTCGTACACCCATAGTCTGTATCAAGTGTCAATCATAGCAAACATGAACCCCCTAATAACTTTTAAAAACGGAGCTTCACAGAATAAAAAGAGGACTTGAGCACAAACCAGTCTAACTGTAACTATATGTCAACATTGCGACCAGGGGGGAGAAAAATTTATGTTCTATGTAATTAATTTCTAAAGTTTGCCCACAGCTCCATAGGGATTGCTGGAGGATGTGGGATTCATGAACTATACTGCAGCCCGTCACCAGAGGGTGCTGTTCTTGTGGCGGCTTCACCTAGCGAGGAGGCAGAAGCGTCCATTCTATATACAGACTATGGCTCCTACTGGTTTGTCCTTTCTGAGCTACTATAGAAAACAGGGTACAACATTTCAGCCTCTGAGTGACGACTCACTTCTCCAGTCATCTCCAGTGATCCAATTATAATATATTCAATACAAACTAACATACAAATACACTCACCGGCCACTTTATTAGGTACACCTGTCCAACTGCTCGTTAACGCTTAATTTCTAATCAGCCAATCACATGGCGGCAACTTAGTGCATTTAGGCATGTAGACATGGTCAAGACAATCTCCTGCAGTTCAAACCGAGCATCAGTATGGGGAAGAAAGGTGATTTGAGTGACTTTGAACGTGGCATGGTTGTTGGTGCCAGAAGGGCTGGTCTGAGTATTTCAGAAACTGCTGATCTACTGGGATTTTCACGCACAACCATCTCTAGGGTTTACAGAGAATGGTCTGAAAAAGAAAAAATATCCAGTGAGCGGCAGTTCTGTGGGCGGAAATGCCTTGTTGATGCCAGAGGTCAGAGGAGAATGGCCTGACTGGTTTGAGCTGATAGAAAGGCAACAGTGACTCAAATAACCACCCATTACAACCAAGGTAGGCAGAAGAGCATCTCTGAACGCACAGTACGTCGAACTTTGAGGCAGATGGGCTACAGCAGCAGAAGACCACGCCGGGTGCCACTCCTTTCAGCAAAGAACAGGAAACTGAGGCTACAATTTGCACAAGCTCATCGAAATTGGACAATAGAAGATTGGAAAAACGTTGCCTGGTCTGATGAGTCTCGATTTCTGCTGCGACATTCGGATGGTAGGGTCAGAATTTGGCGTCAACAACATGAAAGCATGGATCCATCCTGCCTTGTATCAACGGTTCAGGCTGGTGGTGGTGGTGTCATGGTGTGGGGAATATTTTCTTGGCACTCTTTGGGCCCCTTGGTACCAATTGAGCATCGTTGCAACGCCACAACCTACCTGAGTATTGTTGCTGACCATGTCCATCCCTTTATGACCACAATGTACCCAACTTCTGATGGCTACTTTCAGCAGGATAATGCGCCATGTCATAAAGCTGGAATCATCTCAGACTGGTTTCTTGAACATGACAATGAGTTCACTGTACTCAAATGGCCTCCACAGTCACCAGATCTCAATCCAATAGAGCATCTTTGGGATGTGGTGGAACGGGAGATTCGCATCATGGATGTGCAGCCGACAAATCTGCGGCAACTGTGTGATGCCATCATGTCAATATGGACCAAGCTCTCTGAGGAATGCTTCCAGCACCTTGTTGAATCTATGCCACGAAGAATTGAGGCAGTTCTGAAGGCAAAAGGGGGTCCAACCCGTTACTAGCATGGTGTACCTAATAAAGTGGCCGGTGAGTGTATACTTCTTTGTAATGCCTACATTCCTCTGAAAAAAATCTAGTCACTGCACCTTTAACCATAAACATTCATGGCCTCCAGTGAATGAATCCTGACTTCACTGATTCACTGATTTCTTCGGCCCCATCACAGGTCCACAATTTTACTCCACCACGCTGGCTACATTCACAACTGGGATATTAATCTCTCAGGTTTTCTGTTCTTGCATATTCAAATATCTAGATGTAAATATTTGATGAAAACCCTCAAGACATTTCTGCAACTTTGGCAGAAGCGTCCACTTAATCTCAATCTAACACACACACACACATGCAAATTCTTTTAAAGCTCATAATTATGCTATTTATAAGAATACAACTAATTAAATTGACATCTTTTATATCAGATTTAACAACCATACCCATTTTTTTTCTTGAGTGTAAAGACCAGAGTGAATTGTTCGCCAATTGTTTAAATCCAAGTGTTCTGGTGAGCAGCACTGCATGCAGGTATGTATGTCATGCATGTGTACAACATATATGTCATACAGTATGTATGACAAATGTATAAATAGACACCAGCATACGTTTCTTTTTCCCCTTTAAATGTGTGATTTTTCTACATAATTGTCAGCCAGATACGACATAAATACTGGTATTAGCATAATAGGCTTCCTGATTTGTTTTTGTGGCCGGTTCTCTCCCCTCACTCTCTCTGTCCATCGCTTTTGTAATCGCTTCTCAGTGGGGGGTTGTGAAATGATCATAACCTGTCAGATTACCATGTTAATTTGACTGAAGATCTGGATCCCAGTTATAATACATGATAGCAACATATGATTTCGACACCAGAAGGAGGCGCTCGACGTGTAAACATGGTCTAATAACAGGACGACAGCAAACACAGCTGTTTGTGATCTGTCTGCAATCTTTCACAGCTCTCTGGTTCACTCAGGTTAAGGCACAAAAATATGGTCTTCCTCTTATTAGGCTTTGTTTGTTGTTTTTGATTTGTTTCTCTTTTATTAACTCTGAAAGTCTTATGAATTTTAAGCATCATAAAGATCAATTTTCTTTTCTTTCTTTAATTTAAAGCAAGTCAAACTTAATATATCCTTCCAAATATCAAGGTAATATAAAACAAAATAAAAGCAGAATAATTTGAATGCCATCTGCGTCTGTAAATTGCAAAGCGAGAAAACAAAATCACAAAGTCCTCATGAAGCAGCGCCGTGTGAATGTGTAATTCATTATGAATTCCAATGTTGACAGCCGAGCGTACACTGGTGAGTTATTGTGTTCTTGCAGGAAGAAAAAAGAGGAACTCATAGGCTGAACTCAACTACATGTTAAATATGAGCATTGAATATTTATGACTGCACGGGGTCGATGAAAATTTTATGCCCAATTTGTCTTACTGGGGACTAATCGATGCATTGAGTTTTAAAGGCAGGCAGCTCCACTTAGATAACCATTCCCTATTAGTCTCACATAATCCAGCCACAAAATGACTTTATATGTGTGGTTTAATGTTATAAATTTAGGAGCATGTACAAATTTGCGATGCAGTATTTTTTTTTATTCAAACACACGATGGATTACTTCGCTTTCGTGCTTTAGCTGCACTCCAGTTTACAGGTTTTAATCATAAAAATCCAAGATTATAAAAAACCAAACTAGAGGATTCCCTTGAAAAAGAAAATGTTGCCTCTAGCAGAGCAGAAATAAAGACATTTGTGTAAAGACTAGGGGGGAGATGTTTTTGAAACAGTATGAGATGGATGTCAACAAGGCTGCAGGGCAACACTGAATCATTAGAGAGATGTGGGAGTCTCCAAACAAAAGCACCTCTGGAGAATCCACGGGGGAGCGGGCTATTGATGCAGGACTGTAATTACACTGTTGAATATAACAGTCTGCTGCCACCCTCCATCCTGGGGAGGATGCAGGGTCGTCTCACCCGAGGTGATTGGCTCCTGCTGCTCCTGTTACCCCTGAATGTGGCTGCTGCTGCATGGCTTCAGATCAGCGGAATACATTCTGTTAGATGTTGAGATACCTTGTAGTAAGGGGAGATGGTGAAAGACTGAACATCAAAAAACACCAATTTATATCATATTCTACCCTGTGGCCGTTACAAAGTTTCCCAGGTAGGCTGCACGTCTCTTTTTCACAGCTACCAGGAATGGGAAACCAGAATGCTTAGGATAAAACGGCGTCATTGTATCTTAACCGCATCAAATCTGTAGCAACAAATCTTGTTTTATGGATCCTTGCTCAGGATAAGGTTTCTCATTTTTCCCTTTGACAGTGACTCTAAGTGTCTCTCAAATGAGGGAGTGCTGTTTCTTACTATAACCTCGCTGCTTTGTTATGTTTTGTTGAAGTTCTTGTTACATCTTGACACCAAATCACACAGCAAACTTCTGACCAAAAATTCAGTATACCTATAAGGCTTGGAAGGAGCCATCAAGTCACTGTTGTTGCCAGAGGTAGTTCATTTAGATGTACTGAATCACTAGAATCAGTTCACTAAAAAGATTCGTTCAAATGATTCAACCACCGAATCACCAAATCATTCAGGGCTTGGTGGGAGAAGCCTGCGACTTCGACTTCCTGAACTGATACACAGCTGAACGGTTCAGGTTTTCTCAACACACCCCTGTCTCCCTCCGTCACCCCTGCCAAGAGCGTGCTACAGCTGGTGAGTCTCACTCTCTTCTCATTACCGCCAGCCTTACATTTTAAGTTTGTTTATTTGGGGATTAAATCTCCTAAAAAAACAGGGAACAAAGGTCGCCATGAAAGTGTACCCCTCAGACGAAAATGATCCTGGAGAGTGTAGTTCACTAAGTGACTCGTTCACCAAGTGATTGAAGCGTCCCTCCCTCCCATGTCGGTGCTATGGCAGCTGCATTGCTGACAGCTCAACTGAACTGAGAAACGCACAAATCACCAGAGGAAGTGATTCAGTTCAGTACATTCACTGATAAGATTTGTTCTTTTGAATGAATCATTCACGAACAACAAATCTTTAGCCAGAGGTCAGAGATAAAAACACCAAGGTCAAGACTTTTATCTCTTCTTACATTTCTCCTAGAAAGATCAGATTGCTGACCGCACAGGGTCACACATGGTTTCTTTCATATCTTTGGTTTCCTGGCAATTGCTCTTCCAGTAACAAGACAAGGAGGACAAGAAGGACTTCTCCTTAATTGAGATCAACTTGAGCTTCCTAATCCACAAATTGATCTGTATGCAGAACAGACAAGGTCCTTTATAGTGAGCGTTTCCTGTGACGCCAAAGATGGCTTTGATATTCAAGGGCACACACAGAGGCGGGCTGGCGGGTGTGACGTCTAACCAAAACCTGATTTGAACTCAAAATAAAACACTTAAGATACGTCAGGTGGGAACAGTCAACAGCAGAACAGGATCTTGTGTTGATTTGAAGTAGACACTCACATATGGAAAATGGTGGTAGTCCAGTCTGTCTTGATCTAGAATCAAATGGAGTTGCCTTAAATTTCTTTTAACCAATTAGGAATATGTATTTGATAAATTAATTGAATTTATATGTAACAGAATAAAAACCCTGCACCTGAAGTAGATCAGCAGAATCCTGTGTTTTCATGTCCCCTCACTAAAATCAGTGCAAATAAAATGAAAAATGTTGCTCTGTCCTAATTCAACTGGGATCAGCATATCTAAATCAAACTGCTTCCAGAGGTAGCTTGTATTTCTCATGGTCCCCAAACGCCACAGGTGACAGCTACGTGACCACACTGCAAATCACTCAAATACAAACAAGAAAACCAGAGAGAGAGAAAATGGAGAAAATTGAAAGGCTTGTTGTTGTTGTTTTTTTTTGGAGGGAAGTTGTATTTATCACTCTCCTGTGTATGGAGTCAATGTACCATTCACCGCTGGATATTATGTCAGAGATGCGATGTGCTTCGTCTGTTACACCAACGGACTTTGAAAGCCTGCAGTGAGGCGGGCTGTCCCATTAAATATGTTTAGTTAAGAGAGACCGTAAAAGTCACAATAAACTCTCAAAGTCCAACATTTTAAAACTGATTAATCCTCAGATCTTCAGCTTGCATCCTCCTGCTTTAAGAGTTAAATAGATAACTCAATAAAAAAGTGATCTGCGCTGCAAAGTGATCACTCAAAGAGATGAAGTGAAATACAATCGATTTTCAGCTCCAGCAGTTTTCACGTCCATGTGTCCTTGGGAGAGAGGATGGATTGTGAAGAACATCTAAAGGCATCACCATCAGTGTGAGTTTGACTGAGTGAGATTAGATCCCAGAGAGCAGGTTGGCAAAGTTGCACAGCAGCTCTCACAATCTGTGTAAATGTGTGTAAGAGTGATCATGAGAGGTGCTGGAGTCCACACATTACTTTCTAAAAAACAAGTACAAGTATTGATTCAACTTGTCTACTGATGTAAATCAAATAAGGTAATAAATGCTCAGTCTAGTAATGGGCACAGCAGTTCTTTTAGATGTACTGAATCACTAGAATCGGTTCACTAAAAAGATTCATTCAAAAGATTCGTTCACCAAATCACTGAATCATTTAGCATGAGAAGCCTGTGACTCCAACCTCCTGAACTGATACACAGCTGAATGTTCAGGATTCAGTTCAATTCATAGCTTTTAGGACCAGGAGACGAGAGTGTTTGGCTGTGTTGCTATGACAAACAGGTTTGTAAAAATGAACATGTTTACAAGTCATGATGTTTTGAGTGTACTGTCCTATGGTATGCTGTTTATCAGACCTTCTCGGTAAATTGGGCTCAGTGAGTGATTCGTTCACTAAACATTTAGAAGAATTCACACTGAACATGCACCGTTCCCTCGCAAACCGCTGCAATGATACGGTGCTGCGGGTTTTATGCACTACTTGTTACATGCTGTGTCCTATTGTATGAAAGTTGTTGTGGTGGCAACTTAGTAGTGAAAAAAAAGGTAGTCTTGTCCGACAAAATGATTCCAGAGAGTGTAGTTCAATGCTTGATTCGTTCACCAAGTGATTCAGGCGTTGGTGCATGTAGTTCCTCGTTCGCTGGCTGCTGGCCTGGCAATGCTGGCCTGTTTCTCACTTCAGCTCAATTGATGTGAGAAACGAACGAATCACTCAAGGAAGTGATTTGGTTCAGTACATTCACTTAAAAGATTCAGTTCTTTTGAACAAATCGTTCGCAAATGACACAACACTAGCTCAGTCTAGTGAGAGTAAATGCTGCCCTCTAAAGCAGATGTTGGACACTGTTGACTTCATTGTTCTGGCCAAGTCACCAAACCTCATATATACAGTGTGATGTGTCATATGTTTCATAAATCGCTACTGTTTTCTGTGTGTTGTGTCCATTGGGGTGTGTTTGATTGGATCCTGATGCAGATGTTGCCTCTGATTGGCCAGTTCATCAGACTTGCAGCCTCATGATTGGAGGAGAAGGATCAGCACAGGTTTGAAATCTAAACTGCTGCAGCCTGCTCTGTGCTGCCATTTCTAACAGGCCATCATTTGTGTCTTTTAAACCTTAGATCTGTGCAGGTTTGCTTGATAACAGTATAAGATATTTGTTGGCTTGTTTATGGAAAGTAAAGTGGAATTATATGTAGAAGTCGGTAGCCTTTTTGTTTGGTTTGCTTGTTTCTAGGTCAGTGTGGTGCTCAGGGAAGGTTTGAGATTTTCTTTTGTGTTAGGTAAGTGTATTTGTTGTTTTGGCTTTTTTGATCATCTCTGAAGCTTATTAAAACAGCTGCTTCAAAGGTAATTCAACTTGTACTGCTGGAAAGATTGAGGGTCACATCATTACACAGCGCTGTGTGTACTGGAAGCTGTTTGGTGAGTAATGTGGACTGCAGTCCTGTGTGAACAATAAGCAGTTTTATTGGTTTGTGGGCACGAGTTTACACTGTACACACCTGCTCCACTAAGTCACTTGGTGCCTCTTTGCTCTCAAGTAAGCACCGAAGTTTCTCCCCTTCCTCCTTCACGTCTGTTGAGTCATGAAGGTGTCCTCTTGTGTAGGAAGTAACTACATGCCATGAGAAACACTTGTTACTTATTTCGGCTGTATTTTTGTCTCTTTAAAGCCTGCAGACCCAAACAGTTAATCTGAACGCTATAGGTAGAGCATTTCAACATTGGCTAACAGATTTTGTCTGTGTCTTAAGAAAAACTGTAGCCTAGCTTGTGTGCCAGTCTTCTCAGCAGTTTCTTATCAAATGAGCAGAGCTGGGGCCTCATGTATCAACACTTGCGTGGAACTCATACCAGAAACGAGCGCACGCAAGGTCCGTCACGCTGAAAAAAATCCGTATGTATCAATGTGTGCGGGCGCCGAAATCCACGTGTGTTTTTTTGATAAATCCCAATCAGCGTGGAATTGAGCGCAGATGTCGGAGCGGGGATCAACGAGCGGCTGGACCGGCTCGTAAATGTCCTCGAGCGTCTGGTGGAGAAAATAAATTAATTTGGCTCATTGAACTGTGTATTCACTTCTTACCCATTCACACTGTGGCGATGAGATTCTCCCGCGCGAGGACGGCGGCCCGGCAGGGATCAGCTCGCATCCCTCCGTCTGCTGCTGGTTCCTCATGTGGGGCGACGTGCTGCTCGGCCACGGGGATGTGGTGCACGCTTGTCACATAGTGAGTCACCAAACACCGCCACACAGCGTCGCCAAAGTGCGAATCACAGTCAACGCAAGTGTCTGCTCAACGCCAATTTCTACACCACCTCCTGACTTTGCGTTGATTAGCGCTGGAACCGACGCTCGTTTCGCGATGATAAATCTGGACGTGTGCGCCGATTTTGGCGCACGCAAGGTTTTCTTGCGCCGCAAGCGTTGATACATGAGGCCCCTGATCTGGCAGCTTGTACACTTCATAGCAACTTGTAACTCATATAACCTCATTTGAAGACTTCAGACTAGACTCGGAAAAGTAGAGAGGAGGATCGTGGAACATGTATGTGCAGTAGCGGATTGCAACGTTTGTAAGAAAGCTAATTATGATATTAGCTTTCATATTCCCTCTAAAATAGGGTGACTATATTCTGACTTTCCAAAAAGAGGACACAACTACACGGGGGCAGAGTCACGGAGTCGCACAAAGTTAATTTTAGGAGTTTTTCGGGTCAGGTTGCGTGTCTTTTATGCGCTTTTAACTCAGTAAGTCTACATGACACAAAATCGAAACTTGTGTAAAAAAACGGACATTTGAAGGCTTTTATAAACTCCCCTGGACAAACCCGGACAGCCCCTGAAAAAGAGGACATGTCTGGGTAAAAGAGGCTGTATGGTCAACCCACCTAAAAACATTAGTGTCCAAGAGCTGAGTAACTCCTGTTACCTGCTGCTTCTGCTGCACCTTAGGCTAGGCTACTAGCTAGCATGAAGAGGAGCATGAGGAGGAGTGTGCAGAGCAGCAATGTCTTTACCCACAACTCAGAGGCAAATTGCTAATGAGCTACTGGAGCTCAGTCTTCTCAGCAGTTTCTTAAAACTGACACAGGTAACGTGATTTTGGCCAAAAACCTCATGAAAACGTCCTGCTGTTTGGGTCTGATCACAGTGATTTGAATGCAGAAATACTCAAATGCAACTTTGCACTTACTAGTTTTCTCATGATATGTCCTCCAGCATCAGAAAATTCCATATGAACATGTAGACAACAAGAAAAACATGATTTTCATCGGTGTGGGTCTTTAAAGATTACTAGAATATTCCCTTAACTTTGCTCCAATGAGTCAATTGGTTAGATGGGGATTGTCTTACTGATCTGAATCTTCTTTGTTATCAATGAAAATGTTTATGGATTCACTTTGACTTATCCTATTATTTGTCACCTATCATGATCAGCTCTGCAGTTCATCTGTTTCATAAAAATATCAGAGGTTTATAAGAGGCTTCTTTTGACTCTGCTGAGTTGTGTCGTCCAGCAGCTGACGCAGTTATTGAGAAAAGAACTAGCAAGAAAAAGATTGATTCCCTCATACAATAAACTTCAAAATATCGACTGCATCCAAAGATGACGTGGTTATCTGATTCTGAGGGTCCATGAATTTATCAACTACAGTTCATCAAACACAACACCAGGGAAGCGCTCGCTTCTCCACCAATTTGTCCTCTAGGGATTGTTGTTCATATGGAGTGCATCCTGATGTGTATATTACCATCTCTTCCATACAGCGCCCACTCACCGCAGCTATCGATTTGAAGCGATGATTTACTGCTTGGAAAAATCATTGTGTGAAAATCCCTGCATCAGTATGCACAATACGATACAATTTGTACTCAACTGGATGTTGGTCACACTGAGTGGGAGTTACATCTTTTATATCACAGCCTACTGTACATATACACATGGAAACGTCTCATTTCTTTTATTTAGTTTAATGAAGGACTTTAAAGTCTTTTTTCACAATGTTTGATTAAGTTTTTAGTGGTATGACAATTTTATTTGCTTCCTTGTTTCCCAGCTCACGAACCTCTAAAAAAAGAGGGCGATCATATTTTGAATACTGGAAACCAAGACAAAAACCATGACTCAGCCCAGCTTTGAGGTACTCTATAGTTTTAGTTTTCTTCTTCATCCTATTGGCCCAAAGAAAAACAATGAAAATTAGGACATTTTCATAACTTTGTAAAAAAAAACAACCCCACTATGAAACGGGGAGAAATCTGGTATAGGAACTTGGTTGGTCTAAAAGAGGTCTAATAGACAACCAAATGTAGCCTAGATGACTGGTCTAAAATCAGGCTACCACAGGTCTAAAAATGTAAGTTTTTTGGACGTCTAAATTTGGACCAAGTTTAGACTAACCAGCTGACATAGGACTAACAGCCTACTGAGCATTTTTTGCTCAATGGCTATCATAATTGTTTTGGTGAAGTACTTGGAGATCAGTCATGCAACTCACAGTTGCTTTTTTGAAATAAATATTTATCTAATAATGGGTTAAAGTGCAACGTCTATATTCCGTCTGAAAATCTAGACAGTTGAAATTAGGTCTAAAAAAAATAACCAGACGTCTACTAGCCGTCTTTTGCTCAGTGGGTAGGTTAATAATGAATTCAACTTTGTCCACACTGAGATGTCTGCAGTTTTCATTTGATCAATGCAAATTTCCCTACTCTCTTTAGTGCCGTTGTGTGCGAATAGTTAATTATGCCTCTGTTTCCGCTAGGTGGGGCACAGTCCATATGGCGAACGGTTGCGTGTGTGTAGCGCACACTCAAGTTTCAGCAGTGGGGCCTGAAGTTCAGGTTCCCCAGAGTGCTTCTCATTGGCTGACCAGAAGAAAGAGTGGGAACTTGCACCGGTCTCGCTAACTCGGCGACCAACATAAGGCAACATGGCGATGTGAACTCATCCATGGACTGTTGGATTTTAACAGCAAGGTCACAGAGAAGATTGTGCACATGGAGGACTGCAGAGCGTCATTCCTCTTCAAAAAATGATCAACATCGGTGAGTCCATTATTCTATGTGGAATTTACGTGTTTGAATGAAAGTGGAATTTATGCTAATTTTCTGTTTGTATTACTGTAATGTTGTTTCAATCTTGAGTATTTGATATTGTGAGGCCTTGAACGCTGCCATTTGATGGCGCTATTGGTATGATAATATTTGTCGCCAGATTGACATTGTTTGTGTGATGGTATAATTCAGCAGCAGTTTTGTCGTCAAAGGTGTTGTCGTCGTTTTTGTCGTCGTTTTTGTAGTGAGGGTATGAGAGTAATATCTGGTGCTTCTGGACTGTATTATGAGATTTTCCTGCATGGCCCCACTAGAATTTCCAGACTAAAATCACCACCGCTGTATAGAAAGCCTCAATTAATTCCTCGCCAAGCTCGTTTAATCAAGACACTATATAATGACACTACAAGGGCTTGATTAATGTTGAACCAGAGCAATATTCACTTCCATAAAAGCTTCTTTACGTGTTGCTCAGTATACCAGTCGGGTAACTGATTATTGTTATTATACTAAATGTTCATAGCAGCAGGAGAGCATTGTTCCACACTTGGACCTCATCAGTTCTCGCAGATTTAATTTACCTGCAACATTATATGAAGTGATGGGTAATATCTCAAACTCCCCTGACCAGAGCCTGTGGGTAGAAGCTTGAGTACAATGAATTAATATTTTAATCCAATTTTTTCTTTATAATTCACAGTAGAGGTTTAGAGTGTGTACAGTTTTGGCTCTGCCTCATACATCTAAATGAATTCAAAAACTTGCCTTGCCTTTGTATCCACTTTTGATACTCTTATTATTATTTTGAATCACTATCACAGAAAATATGACAAAAAGCAAGAGTATGTTCCTCAATTTACCAATTATTTTTAATCTATCATAATGTTTATCAGCTTACACAAGTCACTTCACACTGTTGCACTCATACCTGTCCTTCCTGATACACCAGCCAGGGCCGAAGTATATAACAAGAGGAGGAAATATAAGCAACTTAGTATTTGGAAAATACAAAGATATATAGTATTTCAAGTGTGGTGAGTGAATGATTGTGAATTAATTATATAAACTCAACTCCTATTATTACCTTTATAATTCCCTCTGTCTCTTTGACTAGCATTGTCAGTGGTCTTTACAATCTTATTCACGACTTAATCTTTCTTATCCTTCATTGTTAGCTGTACTATATACTTATGTTATCTCTTTTTATTACTTACCTAGTTTGTATATTTTCCTATAAACAAATTGGGTAAATGTATTTATGATACTGAAGGTTTACTTGAAATATGACAAAAAATGCACATGCAAAGATGATATCGTGATTTTGTATTGACTTGTGATTTTTAAATCAGTTTTTTCAACAGTCAAGCAGCTTCAGGTTATAACATCACCCTCTAGTGGTTGGAGGTTTAAACGTAACACAAAATGAGCTCCAAATGATTGCATCAAAATTTATGTAAAAAAGAAACGACTTTTTTTGAGAATTTTTACACTCTCATAATACAGTAGACCAGGATATTCATGTGCACAGATCCTTTCTTGTCTAATATGAATGTAAGAAAGTGCAGTGTAAGCTGTTTTGGGCACTTGGGTTGAACTCCTCTAACATACTCTATGTTTAATCTTAGTACTCTGTATATTTACACAGCTTGGGAACCACTGAACAGAACCTGTGGAAACATCCGAGATGATAACTAAACTAGGACTGAAACGATTCCTCAAATACCTTGATTACAAATAATGATTGAGGAAATTTCTCTGCCTCGAGTACTCGTCCATAAGCTCAAATTGTCACTGTTTCGCACAGATTCTTTTGAAGGTGACACAATGCGCTTACGTCACCATGGCAGAAGGAGGTGTAAGCGCTGTTTAGGTTTTGCGGAGCAGAAAAAATAAATGATGAGAGGGGCTTTTCTTTCAGTGTTGCCAACCTAGTGACTTTCCTTACTGAGGAGTTGGCAACACTGTTTTCTTCTGCAGAGCTCCAGTAGCACGTTAGCACTTAGCCTCTGAGTCGTTAGCAGAGACAGTGCTGCTCTGCACACTTCTCTTCACGCTAGCTTGTAGCCTAACATTGCAGGTGTCATAGCAGAAGCAGGTAACATAGGAGGTATTCAGCTCTTAGACACTAATGTCTTTAGGGACATGATGAAAGCTAATATGTAATTGAAAGCTAATACATAATTAGCTTTTTTATGAGCATTGCAATCCACTAACGTACACGCTTGTTCCGCGATTGTCCTCTATTTCTCAGAGTCTGACCTTCATTGCGGGGCTATAGGAAATCTTTCTTTATGTGGGTCTGCTGATTGGGTCCAATTACTCAAGTAATCGATTGAATATTCGGTAGAATACTCGATTACTAAAATATTCGATAACTGCAGCTCTAAACTAAACATCTTTGAGATATAAAGGTCTCTGCTGAAAAACAGATTTGTATATTAGTCACTGGTTCTTGTTGCTGCTTCTTTGTTATTCTGCTCACAGTTACACTCCAAAATACTCCACATTAGAAGCTCAAAATGACTTTGAGAAGCCAATCAGTAAAAAGGTCCTTTGCTTTTGTTGAAAATAAAATTGCAGGAAGAAAAATACTCAAACCTCTCAAGTTTGAATGATTTTATGTATGCAGCCCGCATGAAACCATATCTTTCATATGTATTGCATCTCCATTGTGTGGGGTTTCCATTCGCTTGAGCTTTTATCTAGAATTGGATGTTTGCCAGTGAATCCTGAATCAGACTGAATCATAGCCCTTTGCACTGGTGAAAAATGACTGTGTAATGAAAGCAATGGGAGCCGCAGAGAGATCGAGAAAAACCAACGGGGGTCAGAAATAAAGTAGTGAAGAGTGGGCTGAAGCACTGAAAGCCTGAGTGTTTGTACAGACCCTCTCTCTATAAGTGCCGTTCCGCCTCCAAACAAGTGAATCCCCAGCAAGAACCTATCAGCTCTGTTTGTTGTCATGCAGCTGAATTTAAATATACAGTAAAAGGGGTGCAAAACGTACAAACAACTCATCTCTTGTGTTTAATTTCAACCGAGTTTCTCACTAGGAAGCCTCCAATGTTATGCCTCTTTTTTTTTTGATTACCTTTCTTTTCAGAAGTCTTTACCCAAGAGCCTTTGTGTGAGTTAACAGTCTGCAGTTTAGCACAGATGATGGGTCTCCCCTGTCTTCCCTTTTAAAGTGGCAGAGAAGCAGTGGGAAGGAGCCGAGCTCTGCTCCAACAGGCGTGATGCTAACTGAGGTGTAATTAGAGGAATGTGACTGCATGCCTCACAAGCTAGACTAATTAGCAAAGCTTTCCTGTTCTCATTCCAGCAGGACCCCACATGAAGCAAACAAAAATATGCTAAACTTGCTGAAGGGTAAACTGATGTAAATGTTGTACATTCGCAGTCTGTCTGTGTCGTCCTCTGGAGAGAAAAGAACCAACAACACTGATTAGATACCATTTTAGCATTAAAATAACATCATGACACACAACTTATGCAAAGTAATGAATTTATATAACAAGAATTCAGAATGGTGTTGTGGCATCACTGCCACACTGTATAATTAAAAGTTTTCAAAGCTTCAAGTCAAAAGTTTGAAAGTTTGACAAACTTCCTGAACTTATAGACAAGCTCTACACTGTTAGCATCTGACTGAACACACTTGGTAGGGATGTACAATATTATCAGTACTGCACCAATATTTGGCGTTAATAGCATAAAAACCATAGACTGTGTATACTATGGACATCTTGGTTCCGCCTTCCGCCAGTATATTGATTTGAAGCCGTAAAGCTCTCAGTAATTTTGCGTTTTTTTCTCCACTTCCTGAAACCAACATTGGGCGGTAACGTTGTACGCACACCATCACTTGCGCACTAGCGTTGCGCACATTCGGCGGGAGAGTCGCTGAGAGTTGCTAACCCTAACCCAAACCCAACCCTAACCCATAGGCTGTATCAAGTGTCAGTCATAGAAAACATGAACCCCCAAATAACTTTAAAAAATGAAGCTGTACAGAAAAAAGAGGACTTGAGCACAAACCAGTCGTGCAATAACTATATGTCAACATCGCAAGCAGGGGGCGAAAAAAAAATTATGTTCTGCAGCCCGTCACCAGAGGGTGCTGTTCCCAGAGTTACTTCACCCAGTGAGGAGGCAGCACAGTCCATTCTATATCCAGTCTATGATAAAAACTTAATGACCCTATCTGTCAGCATCTACAGTTGATAAAGTGAAGTGTTAATGATGGGCTTGCCATGACGGCTCCAACACTGTAACACGAGCTCCATCATGTCAGCTGTACAAAAGTCTTTAGAAGTGTCAGAAATAGACAGCAGACACATTACACATGTATAGAATAAATACTGCCATAGAAACAGTAACAGGTCAATCCTTATATAGGAGAAACATGTTTTTGTACATACATCAGAATTGGCCAAAATTGCCCAAAGTGTCATTGTCCAGAAAAATGACAGTGACGTTGTAAACTGAGGTTGTAAAAATCAGCATGTTTGACATCTGCAAAAATCCAACACCATGCATGTTTACTTTTTAGTGTTTGTTGCATACATCAGGTGATGCCGTACATACAGCCGCTCTCTAAACGACTGGGGCTTTTGGCCTGGAGCCGATGTCGTCAGACGTTAGTAAACCGTATGATTCTTTTGTGGGATGGGGCTGAGCTGTTAGCAACTCAATCCTCCAGACACGTTAGTCTGCTCTAGCTAGCAATATTTTTGGGCTTGTTTTCAGAGAGCGGGGCGTCGCTTAACCTCCGAAAACCAGGAGTGGTACTTGAATAAATTCAGTGGATGGATGATAACAGGACTACCAAGGGTAGAATGGCTCTACATTTGCAAGGACCTGATAGAAGAACACAGGCATTTCATTTCGACTTGTTAAAATTTCAACTTTAATCTCAAAATTTCGACTTTATGTCAAAATTCTTAAGTACAGCTTTACAAACTCTTCTACAGTGGACATGTTGTTGAGTGATGCAATGCTGTTGATTCATTGTTATTTATCTCAACATTACGACTTTATTTATGAAATTTTGTCTTTATTTGCCTCCACTTTAATATCAATTTAAATCTCGAAACTTCGACTTAATTCACCAAATTTCAGCTTTATTTATGCCGACTTTAATCTCGAAATTTCGACTTTAATCTCGTTCCTGTAATTATTTTTTATCTCTTCATGTGGCCCTAATCCTCTTTCATAGGTGTGTAAGTAAAGCAAACTAAGAGCATGACATTTTTTAGAGCCATGTAGCTACAGGACTTGAAATAACGGGATTCAATCCAAACCCTGACTTTCAATTCTACCAATCACGTCACAAGGACAGGATACAGCCACCTACAGCCAACACGTGGATCATCATCAATATATCAAACACCTACAAGGCTGGGTAATATGGCTTACATTTGAAAGTGTCTGTAAACGTAGCCACACAGCTGTTGTCTCGACTATGTTGTTCTTGGCAGGTGGTTGATACGCAGCAGTTTTCAGACATCACCATCCATTCTTCAGTTTTGGCATTCAATAATAACATTAAAGACAACATTTAGAGACTGCTGAGATGCCTTCTACCCTGTGGTGCTAATTTGTGTGACTCACTCCAGTTTTGCCTCCAGCATAAGCAGAAGGAGAGGGTGAGTTTTTTCGTTTCATTAGAAGAACTATCACAGGGCTTGTCACGCAGGTGAAACATAGTTTCATCGACAGAAGTTATTGATTACGAGTACCACATTACCCTCTCTTCCTCTTCTGTCACGACTTCTCCATATGCGTGTCAGAGCTGGACACAGTGTGAGAAAAAGTAGGAGAGGGATGTGGTTTGAAAACAGAAAATAGACTTAAAGATCCACACTATAAGAATTGAACACAGAAGTTTTAAAATTTCTTTCTTTCTGTTGGAAAGGAAAAAGGTTTCATGATTAGTTTCTTAGTATCATGCCGCAGTAATCTTTATCAAATTGGTGATCTTTTTGATTTTCATCTCCGGTATTGCCAAGAGTGTAACAATTACATCTTGATTTATACCTGCAAGTGACTGTGATAATTACACCTCTCCATTATCAGTAGGTGAAACTCTCTTCTCACTTACAGAAGGAAATGGACCTTGTCGTTCTATTTAGTCATTTTTTCCATCAGTAAAAAATCTACGATGCCATTCTTGGTGCTCGATGACTCAGTTCTTTGAAACTGCTAATTTTTATGATGAAGAGAAAAATAGATGCATTGTATTCAGTGTGCAAGGTTTCTGTGAGCTCACAAAGACCGAAACTGTGAGATAGAAGAAAAAAAAAAGGAAAAGAGATAAATACAGCGGAAGAAAGGCAGGTGAGGTGAAAGACAAAACCAAAAGACAAAACAAAGATATATGTTGAGTTTCCTGTAAGTTAAAACAGCAATGTTAGCTCTATTTTTGTTTGAAAAAGGCATGAAATCAGGTCTAATTGTCGAAGATCTAACCCTCAGCTTTCTATTGGCAAAAGCATGATTAAAAATATTATTCTTATAAAGCTTGATAACACCATTATTAAGCCCGACGAGATCCCAGTTCTCATGGATACCTCTGTCAAGTCTTTTCAATATCTCATGGACACATAAAAGGACAGTGTGTTTTTCAAAATTTTGGTTTTACCGCCTCACAAGTGAAACATTTCAGCCAAAAGACCGCAGCATAAAGCACTCGTATAAAAAACAAAAAATTAAAATTACAGTCTGTGATCACATCATGTGATTGCTTGTTATTCTCATCAGTCCCTTTTTTCATATTGTGATTTGATACGTTCACAGCAGGCGGATGATTTTGAAACATTACAAAAAATAGAAACATAAATTCAGCTATATCATGAGGTAATTGGCACTAGGCTTAAGCTCCAGGATAATGTGTTAAAACACAAATTTGTTGATTAAAAGGACTGAGATGTGACTTCTCTACATATTGAATTCAAGTGCTTTCCAGTGAAATGTGGTAATACATCACAAAGTTTGATGCTGGTCCACATCTAGCTCCTCTAGGCTGTGAAACAACAAGTGGGTGTGACACATGGTTCTCTGATACCACAGACCTATTTCATCGGTGTTACAGACTACACATAAAGCCATTGAGGGTCAGTCTCGTGATGCTTTTCCATCGATAAACAGGAAGAATTTTCTATTAGAAGATCTGTTTTAGTTAATCTGCAGCTCTAATGTGACGATGCAACTTCCTGCTGCACAACAGCACAGCTCAAACCACAGACTTCTTTGCACATTTAGCCATGACTCTTCTTAATACCTGTTGGTTGGATATAAAGTTTGATTCAGATCTTTGACAGACAGCCAACATCTGCTCGTACTTGCAATTTCATATAATTGATGCGGTTCAAACAGGGATGTAACTTTATGAGACCTGGCACCAGCAACAGCAGTATTGATAAGTTCACAAGTTGTGCTTTTCCAGCTTTGTAAATCTAGAGCTGGGTTTTACTCCCCGTCTTTACAACTCACTGTGTCTGTTTTACTGATTTATGCACTGATGTTCTAAACTCACAGGCCCGTAAAGATGAGCTAAATCCTGATGTGAATCTAGTCGTCTCTTCAAACAAACTCGCTGTAGTATCAGGCTTTCAGCAACACCATACTTTTCTTATCAGTGATGTAAACAAAGCATCTGAGGCCCTTCAACCGTGATATTGGAGAAAGATCGAGGTCTGATAGAAACAGTGACAAAGGCATGACTCAGAATGGTGATCATGAATTTCAGGAGCTAAATCGAGACGGGCTGCATGGCTTTTGTGCAACTGACAGTTTTCAAAATCTTTCATCTTTACCATGTCCAAATTTGATCCTGGTGGTCATGCTCAAATGGGATGAATTATGAATCTTCATCTGTGAGAGTTTTTCCATATGGGAGAAGAGAAAAAGGAGAAAAGTGAAGATATGGAGTCTCTATCTTGCAACAAACTCTCAAAAATACATTATTTAAACTACAGCTACCAATAAAATATAAACAGGTGCAGGTACAGTTTCATGATAAAAATTTGTCACACATTTTAAACGAACAAAACTAACACTAAAAAATAAAGGCACATACAAAGAAAAGCAAAGGCTTTGTCAGCTGCAGTGTGGATTATCTTCAGAACTAAAGCAATCATCAGAACTGCTGCATGAAATATCAATTTTTCCTTCTTATAAAACCTGCATATATTGAAATAAATTAAACAACATATTATACCCTCTCTCCTTCGATTGGTGATGTGATTTCTATAGAGTGTGATAAAAAACCCTATTTTAAGTGATGACAAAGACTACTGTATGTGATGTGATGCACATAGGCTGCATATCTTCATGCAAAACTCACCAACGTACTCTTAAAAGAGAGTCTCATTTGTTCCCACTAGATCTGGCGCAGTGATGCCTCTTGAATGTGACATTTTCACTGATACTAATGGGGTTGTTCTTGGCTCTAATTTGGAGGTCAGCGTGTCTAAAACTCGTACTCAGAATATTGGTTTATTATCTGCGAAACCATTTGCATGACCTTACAGGGGTTATGTAAACCCACTCTATCTGATGGTGCACTTTCAGCAGAACTTAATGAATTGAGCCCGCCTTCTTAGATTGATTATTTCCCTTTATCACAGTCTATGGTGAGGAATGTGATTGACAGAAAAATAGAGACTGTAATTATTTACGAGCCCACACTCTTCCCCTTATCGGGCCCTCTCTCTTTCTGTAAAGAATGATACAAGCACAGTGGAGAGTTAACGGCTCTTCACTTCAAGACAAAGAGTTTGTGTCCTTAATGAAAGGGAAGATAAATGAGTGTATTAATATTAATCTTATTGAATTTCCTTGTTACAAACTGTACGGGAAGAATTTAAAGCGACCGTTAGAGAATGGATAATTAGCTGTACTCCTGCCAAAAAGAAATAATGAAATCAAAAAGAACAACTTGATGTCGGAGCAGAAGATGTCAGAATCACAGCATATGCAGTCCTCTAATGAGATTAAACTTAAAAATGCAATGATGATTTGTAAGGCAGAGCTATACTGTCTGTTATAAATGCATTTGCACTACTCAGGCTCTGCTGGAAGTATTCTGAAAGGGGAGCTAACGCAGACAAAATGTTAGCTCTGAAGTTAAAACATCTCCAAAATAACTATCTGTACTACTGCTTAGAGAGACACTGATCCATTTTTTCCGATCTAA